TAATATAACAATTTAAATAAAATATATCAAAAACTCTCTAATTATAATATTAAAACGGATATTGCTAATGTAGGAAAAAGCGTTCGGGCTTAGACGGTTTCTTCTAAAACATTACTAACATAACACTTTATATAAGTACCATTTCCTTTGTTGGATTTTATTGACTTTTTTGGTGTTTTGCTTCTGGCTGTAGACAAATTTAGTCCGGCACTGCCGTACGTAACACTATGTATAAGTTCTTTAAGGCTGTTCGTAATATCCAATTGAAATTTCTATTGTCATATTACTTATTATTATTGTTTACTACAGACATGCAGTGCATTTTGCCATCGGCTCACGAATATTATTAAAATTTCATTATTTAGATGCATTCACAAAACATTAATGGAGACACAATTTTGTTAATGTCGTTCAATGCATATTATAATGACATCAGGACAACTACTTAATTTTTTAGGTTTTAATATCGTGTTACTGCGCTTAAATCATATTGAAATGTATTACTATCTCTAAATTATGTAGTGTATAAAGTGTAATTTTAGTATTTTTGTATGGGTTATATCATACTGAAAAAAAAGCTGACCATAGTTTTGGTTTGGTATTTTATTGTATTAGGTATATGTATATATAATACAATTATTGTTATACCTTTTATTTTTACCTTTTATACCTTTTAAATTATAATAATTATAATCACTATAATCGCACATGTTAACTGTTAAGCAACCAAAAAATCTGTGTGCTGATTTTATACACAGCATTTGAGATCGTTCTAGGCTTTTTACTTCAACCCAATTAACATTTTTTGGAGTAAATGTATTTATAGTGTACTTGATTATTGATACTTCCTTTTTAATTTAATAAAGTTGTGTTTCCATCGCAATAAATTAGTTTGTACCTAACCACAATAATAAAATTCTTCGTTTAAAAAAATATATTGTCTTAAAAATTTTGAATTTGTGAAATAATCATTACTCTCTAAAAATACAAGATAAACTATAATTTTCCATTAAATTTCTTAATAATATTGATATTTATTCTGAATCTGATGTCATGTTTTTTATGAAATTCAAATCCCCAAAAAATGACATAATTTTAAAAACAATAATATCTTTTTGGAGCTATACGAGTATTACGAGAGGAATTAGTTCCTTTCTTGTTGTTGTTATAATTTTTCTTCTTCTTTTTTTTCATCCAAGAGTAAACAAACACGACACTAATCTTCGCGGTCGTTATGAAACTCCTATCGGTGGGTTTATGTATACATATTTTGAGTTAAAATATTATATTGAAGACGACCGATTATATAATACAGTTATTAGGAGCAACATACAACTCGAGATCGACGAACACAAACATAATATCTTCTGGGAGGTCTGAACGCCAAAGGCTTACACATAGGAACGTCCATCTGCGTTATTGTACTTACGTTTTAATAGTGTTGGATTAAATGGAGTAGTCGAGAAAACAATAAACGCTATTTTCCAGTACAATGAGCTGCGTGAGCTCCCTTTGCAATGCAAAATATGCTCGGTAGGCGGTCAGGAATGCAAAATACAGCGTTGACAAATATATTTTCTGATTATTATTATTGTTATTAGGCATTACAATATGTTACAAAATACTTAGATCCGCGTTCGTGTATGTGCAAAGATGTATGCGTACAATTGATCGGGTCAATGATACCCGCTGAGGTATACATAGTAGTCCGTGAAGAAGGAGGAGTAGATAGGACACGGTGGAAAAAAAAGGAGCGGCTATAGTAGCTTCTTCTCTCTTTCTCTCTCCTCGTCGGTTATAATATTACATTATGTACCGGACGACCGTTCTTATATTATACAAAGCCTCGGGGCGCGAATCGCCTCTCATCTCGACCATTATATATACTATATACACACATGAGCATATCAGTGTATATATATATATATATATTAATTGCGAAACAGGTCATTCCATCTATGTCCTTGCGACTCGACTCCCCGCACCGTTTCTTTCCTCTTTTCTCCGTCTTTGAGTCCACGTCCAACGCTGCCGTCATAGAATCCTTGCGGAGGTCGCACTGTCGGTCAACGGCATAAAATATATATTATAATAATAATAATAAAGACGTGGTGTTTGTGTTTCTATACGGCGTACCAGTCGGGCTGCGTGTGCCTAAGTATAATGGAAATATAATCTTGTCGACGATAGACGTCGAGGTGTTATATTCGTGGAAAGGACGATTAAAAGCGAGCCGGACTTGGTTATGATAATGAGTTTCGCCAATAATTCTGTGATCCCAAACGGACGGATCGAGACGAGTGATCGCAGACGGACTGATACCTGGATAGACCGAGAGAAGATCTATGACTTAACGCATTGCACAAGCTCTACCGAACACCAGAACGAAATCATTATATGGTTTTCACACGATGGCGTTGATCGTATCGTATAATCAAACGATTATACTTAGCAATGCTGTCCTCTGGGCGCTGTTACGTTTGTCGACCACACCTTTTTTTTTTTTTTTTTTGTAACGAACGTGTGTGTCCTCATTTGCCTTTACTTAAAAAACTCACGAATTGCTTCCCAAAACGAGTACTAATACGCGAAAACAAAAAAAAAGAAATATCTGTGTTCTAAACATGCCGCAGTTGAATATTTCCAACAGAGTATAATCTCGAGTCTATCAACATCAAGCAGGTACGTAGACAAATGCTGAATGTACTTGAACAGTCATGAGAATTTCGGCTAAATTTCAATTATAGATCTAAGATCATTTAGTAGTTTAAAGGAAATGACATTATCCGTACAACGTGCCATCAACATAGACGAAAAGGTCAGCCGCCTTAACGCTCTCTACTCTTTTCAATTAGTCATTGTATCACTCACCATAATATTATACTCTTCTCTGTATCTTTTGACTGTTACATATAGGTGAGAGTAGTCCTAAAATTGTTGGTCTCAGACACATCACACATCAATATTTGTTTAGTAACTAAATAGATATTTGGTTACTCAAAGTACCGAAAGTTTTGATAAATTTAACTGAGATTAATTATTAAGAAATAACATATACGTTCGTTCAATTCTTTGCTTACTCATTTGTTGCTGTCAACACATTCCAAAAATATAGAAATTGTCAGAAATGTACATAAGACTTGCGACCGGCTGTATGAAAGTTATTTAACATCAAATACAATTCGTTTGGAAATTAAAATATAATCGCCGGTGCATCTTAATCATATTTCGCGTAACATGTATAGTTTCGTGATACACTTAACTTCCCACACAGTCAACCATTGTGATAATTTTCTTCGTTTCACATGTGCGATTCCGCGTTATTTGTTGTTGTCATTCGTGGAAAATTTTTCCTACAGCAAAAACAAAGACATAGGTTTTTAATTAGAGACTAGAAATAATTACAACAAACGAGATTGTACTTTGATTTCGGGGTTCACTACTCACAAGTTAGATAACAAGAAAAATATTATAGGGAAACCGTGTAAACGGCGGAATAACGCAATGCGCTATTCTGTTTGCGATCAACATCATTTTGTTTTTTTCTACGGTGTCGGTCTGCAATTTTATTTCTACAAAAAACCAGTTGGTTAGGAGATAGTTAGGATAGGGATATTTAGTGCTCTAGTACACTATAATTTGCTAAGAGCATATAACGCGTTAGCGGTGTCTCGTTGAAGAGCAGTATCATATTTTAATCGGTCATGATGCAAGTCAGGATTATAAATAAACGTTCGTTAAATAACGTAGAGAGGAAATAAAACGGAATACCTGGAAATAGTTTCACAATCGCTAAAAACACTTTGGAACATTGGATATCGTTTGGAGATTTTGAATAATTTCAGATACCTCTTGAAATATTTTCATGAAAACCGTTTGAATACAAAATTATACAGACCGCCTAATTGTGTATCCGGTGAACCTACAAAGTGGCCGGCAGCGGTTCACCTTCTAGCGCAAACCTAGTTAGCTACTCACGAATTTGACATATTATTATTATTATTATTAAACCTTTCTTGGGTTATGTATTACTTTTCGCCTTGTATTATTTTTATAATAACTACTAATACACCTTGTGTGCGATAACCTCCCCCACGACTTTGTAAACAAACAACACACGCCGGACAATCTTATAGGGTAAACTAAATAGCCGATAACAGTGAATTTCCATGCACATAATATTATGCCGGAACCTTCACCTTTCCACGCGCATTCCTTGACCTGAATACCGTAGTCTTGGAGATAAACAAACGCGCAGCACACAGTCTGCCCGAAATCAGCTCCGTTAAGAGCATAATATTATTATATACCCACACATTAACGTTTCCCAGTTATTAGGATAATACTTTCACCGAAAAACTAACCCGGCCATGAGTCATGCACTACTAGTATAATATAATTTTGCGCAGGGTGTTACCGCAATAGCATATTTACCGTGACGTTAATTTTTTTTTAACTTCTTCACTACTTTTATATATTATATGTTTTTTTTTTCAAGTATTCAACCCTAAGGTTGTTTTTGTAGTTTCCAATATTTTCTCCATTCGTCTTTATTACCAGATAGTCTCTTCAATTCCCTGTAATTTGTTAGTCTCAAAACAAAAAAAATCTGTTTGATGTATGATGCTCTTGGCCGCTCTCGGTCTCTTTTGCCATTTATCTTTCCTTCTATTATAATGTGTAGAAGCTCATCGTCATGTATCAAAACATGTCTAATTCTCCTATCACTTTTACGTCTAATTTTTTTTGATAAGTATCTCTTAATTTTCGTTGATGGACTGTTCCATAAATCAAATTGTATTATAATAAATATCAAATAGTATTGACTATTGATAAAAGAGAGCATCCCTGCCTTACATCTTTCCCGATTTAGACTGTCCTTGATTTATACGACACTTGTATTATAGCTGATTGTTCTTTATATATATATTATTCGTCTTTCTTATTTGTATGTATACTTTATATTTTATATTAATGTATGAATATGTCTTTTTTCGCAGACTTGGCAAGAAAAAGAAGCGGGCAAAGTGGTTTTGTACACGACCACCATGGGCATAGTGAGGGACACGTACCAGCGGTGCCTTCTGGTCAGACAGATACTTCGGACGCATCTGGTCAAATTTGTGGAAAGGGACGTTTTCATGAGCAAAGAAGTGCAAAAGGAGATCAGAGAGCGGTTGGGAGTCGACACGATATCCGTTCCCCAACTGTTTGTCGAAGGAAATCTCATAGGAGTCAGTATAGATAGCCATTAGAAATATTGTTTGTTTCGATTAAAAATAGGAGAGGGAGATGGGGTGGGTAAAACGATCTTGAGGGTTACATAAGCTAAGATTACTCTATCCGAAGTTAAAAGCTCTACGTTTGTTTTTAATTTCTCAAAACCGCTTGTACTAATTTAATTATTATTATCCTAATAACAATGAGTATAATATTATTATAACAGTTATTTGGGTTTGTGGAATTCCTTAAAGAGAACACATAGTACAATACCGTAAACATACGCCAAACATAATATCCCCTTTGCCGATTTTTTTAATATTAAATAGGTAGTTAAATACATTATCGACAAAATCAAGTAATTAATTTAACTTGGGGGAGTAAAATTTCTGTTATTAATTTACAGTCAGATAAATTTGTAACGATGTATAATTACTTTTATTAAGAGCAACGCTCGTGCCTATACAAGAGCTAATTGACTCTGACATAAAATACTGCATTATAATTAATCGACTACTATCTATACACGTGGGTTTAATAATATAATCCATAGTTTATAATGTACCTAAAGTAAATTAAATACAACGCACTTGTTAGGTTTTACAATAAAAATGTATAGACGGCCAATTATTTATGGGTTTTAACAATACATCATATACAGAGTGTGAGGTTGCCGAATTACAAAGGAAATATTTAATTATATTGATAATAATTGATATTGGCCTATTTATCAGAGTGAGATTAATTGTACTCGGTGTACCGAGTGCATAAAGTACTTGAGTATGATTATATCACTCATACTCATACAATTTTAAATAAACAATACATTAAATTATTACATGTAACCATTATTCAAAATTCTGAAGTACTATGTGATATAGGTATTATCCTAAAAACAGTTAAGTGTTAAAAATGATCAATACTTTAAGGTTATGAGTAGATACTGATACAAACGATAATCTTAAATGGTAAAGGGCAATTTTTCGCCCTTAATCTTTTTTAATAAAGTTGAGTTCAGAGCACTATTTTATTGTACACCATAATGGCCTTTCGAAGACATTTTAATCCAATTGGTTATTTTAATCAATAACCAGTTGATAAAAAAAAATCAGTTATTTTCAAAAATGTCTTTACCTACAAAAAACGAATATTATATTATACAACAAATTGTGCACTTTTCTCATTTCATTTTTTTTAAATATTACACTTACATCCCTAGGCTTTTAGGGCACTCAATTATCATACTTAGCTATTTTAAGTATCCTTATGCCGACCCCAAATAGCTGAGAGAAATATTATTCAGAGTAAAATTTCATAGTGCAAATTTCCGTGGCTGTAAATTAGATAGTAAAAGTGAAAAATTTGGTTTGCAAGTTTATAAAGCCTTGTGAAAAATAATTAAACATTATTTTAAACTCTATTTTTTCAATTATTTATATGGTATAATGCTTACATTTATTAATGTAAGCATTATACCCGTATACCTACTTAAATACCTAGCTATTATTATAATAATAATACTATGTGCAATGTAACAATGTATGATCTTGTTTTCAGGACGCAGAAGCAGTAGAAAGACTGAACGAATCTGGGGAACTCCGATCGATATTGAAACCGTTTAAGGTAAATCAAAAAGATAATGTTATGTTTGTGCCAATAGACCGTTTTCATATTCGGAACGCTTCTTCCGGCTCACATGAGAGCACATTATATCCTGTTGCCAATACAACTTTCCTAATCGGGAAGAAATGGATTTTAGTAATAATAAACATCAAATCGTCCCGTCCGTCTCTTCCCAGCCGTTTCCAACTACCATTAAATTCAACATTCCTGTTGACTCTACCCAACCTAACCCGTGGTGGTAATTACTTTAGTCCGACTATTGTTAAAAAACTTGGAAAATTATGTAAATAATTCGAAACTCGACTGTACCAAAATTATTTTCCCTTTTCACCTGGGAACGATCACGACATTGCCTAATGCGATAAAAAATAAGTTTTATAATATAGTGATTTATGGCCATGAGTTCAAAGCAAATCGTGTTTTAGTACGTATTATTACGTTGGAGCGGTCAATAGGTATATTTCCATGTTTTTTATGGAAAAAAAAATATTCTTTTATCGTTAGTTACATAAGTATATTATTTTATACATTTTTAAAAGGCTGAAAAAAATCTGTATCTCTATATTTACTTTAATACCTAACTTCTCAGAAAATCTCTACCTGAAATGCAAAAAGCCAGTTCCGAGAGAAGTAAAAACTAAAACAAAATAAATTAGAAACCATCATTACCTCGATTTTTAAAAAAACGAACATGATCTATTCAAAGTTGCTGTATAGACTAAAATTTGTTCCAAAGGTCATATTATGACTTACACATATTTTATGCGAAGCCTTGTGTCTTTCAGGTACAGATTGATAAGACATCGTAAGATGTAAAAGTTAAAACAAATACACCTATATTATGTAGGTATGTTTTCCCGTCATTGATAAAAGAATATTTTTAAATAGAAAAATTAATTAGATAGTTCCCCGTTAAAAACAAAAAAATACGATTTAGATTAAGCTATTACTTATTAAATATAATATTCTAATATAATTTAAATAGTTATTACTTATTACTTATTAAAATTAATTCACTTATTATTGCTTGTTCAAATTTAAGTCAATTAAGAGTAAAATAATGTTTAATATTAATTAATAATTATTATGTTGATATTTCTTTTCTTTTTTGCTCGTTAACTCGAATTTATTTATTAAGTATTAACTTTGCTAATATAATTTTAAATTTGATGAAGCATTTAAAATGACAAATAACTATTAATTTTACAATTTAACATAAATCATTAAAATTTGACCGGCTTTATTAAGTATTTTTTATAAACTGCAATTATTTTTGTGTCTTTTATACGGGGTGATCAATTTAACGTTAAAAACTAATTTTCTAGGAAAGTAATAATATCAATTTTATAATATTTATTTTTAAAAAGAATTTTTATTTTGATACCTACATATTTATACAATTTTCCAAGTTTTAATTTTTTTAGAATTTTCCAGGGCTCTATCAACTTCTGAAACTTCTATGGTATTGTTTATACTTAATTAACTTTTTTAATTAAGACTTATCATTTTAACCAGTTTAGATAATTATTTTGCAAGCAAATTAAAAAAAAACTTTATTCCACCCTTCCTCTCGTCCTAAGCTTTAAACTCCATTAACATTAAGAGAAATTGTCCAAAAATGGTTATTATCCTGTCAACCTTTTCAGCAAATTATTTTTCAATTAAAAAATGTAATTACCTATTAAGTTTCAAAAAGTTGATAAAGCTCTGAAGGGTACTAAAAAAGTAAAATATTTAATAAATGTACAATATTTTAAAATAACATAAAACAAGATGTTTTCTAAAATAAAAACTTTAAAATCGTTATTAATTTCCTATAAAAATGAGTGGTTTACGTTAAATTGATCACCCTGTACATAAAATAAATAATTAAACTTATAAAAATCTGGAAAATTTAAAGTACTTATGTATATGTTTACTCTTTTAATACAATAATATTTACTACAGATATGTTCTTTTCGAGATCTTTCGAAAGAAAGTAAAAAACTATCTGCATAATAACAAGAAAAAATAGTCATTAAAAAATACATAAACAAGTATTTTCAAAACCCTCAAGCTACATCAGGCGCAAGAAAATACCCCCCACAGCGTACCTATCCTGTATACATACATGCGGTGTAGCCCTAATTTACCTAATTATAACAGTAATGATTACTACCTTTGACGGGTATTTTATTTTTTCTAATTTTTATTCTAAGCACAATATTTTTTCCGCGTTATTTTTCTGTTATTATTACTACTATTATTATTATCATCATCACTTCTATTGTTCTTTCGTGCACAATACAACGATAGTGATAGACACGTATATTAATTTAACGTACCTGTATAATACCTATTATATATATAATATAGTACCTATAAATGTGAATATTATAGAGTGTAGGTATATTATAATTTTCTTGTTAGAATTCCAACCAAAAAAATAATAATAACAACCCATCGCGTACCTACAAACATAGGTATCTACTTTCTAATTCATTATACGTTGTTAGGAAAATAATTATTATTATTTTAGAAAATAAATTCATATACATACCTACACATACTACATATATTATGAACCGTTCAAGCGTGTTGTGAATGTGTTTATAGTTAAGACATAACTTACCTACCTTGTGCCTAAATGCAAATTATAAAATACAATAATATGTGAACATTTTTTTTTGTAATGATATAATATGAAAACCGGATAAATTATTTGGGATCCGCGTGTGATAAATTTCTTCGTGATGAACAATAAAGATACTTAATTAAAGTAGATACCTACCTACCTATTATAGTAATAGGTAAATCGAATACTTCATATTTTAATAATATTATATATTAAGTAGCCAACAACCTTATTATTAAAATATAGAAAAATAAACGACCGTGCCTATTTTATAAACATGTATACCGCTATAGCGGTAATCACGCGGTTATAGATGGTAACATTGTTATGGTAATCTGGGTAGATTGGTTTCCTAACTTTACCAAACTACAGCTTTGCTTTATAAGGTATCCATATTTTTATTTTTATTTTGCGAGCATTGAAGTTTCCTTATTAAGTTTCTATAAGGATGTATGTAGGTAGTGTTTACTTAATGAGTTGATAGGACGAACACTCGCCTCTGCATATTTAATGTAAAATTATTATTTTGACAACAATCAAACTATTTTTCCAACTAAATTATAGCTTTGGCATTCCACGAAAACCCCAAAAGTTAAAATACATACAAAAGTCGTGCTTAAACACATAATACAACCTACCTTCATTCTATCTCTACCTTCACTTTTATTAAATTCTTATATACTCTCTGCTTCTTCATCTTCTTCGCTTTACGGCCCTTACCCCCACACAAGTACCATTTGTTCTTTCACTATTATAATATCTTAATTTTTGTCGTTTCAGAGCCCCGACGCTTGTACCACGTGCCAAGTTTGTGGCGGCTACAGACTTCTTCCCTGTCCAATGTGCAACGGAAGTAAGAAGTCTGTACACAGGAATCACTTCACTACCGAGATGATCGCTCTCAAGTGTATGAACTGCGACGAAGTGGGATTAGTGCAATGTTATGCTTGTTGAACGGCGCAAAGGTTAAAAAAAAAAAGAGGGAAACCCTTCAGAGATAAATGAAAATTGATTGTGTAAAATCGATTTGTTTTTTTTTCTCTACAGTCTAGTTTAATTTATAATTCATAAAAAATATATATAAATTATACTATGCGATACTTACCCAGAGACTATTTTTTTTTTTATTGTTTCGATATACCTAATTAATTTACACAGACATAATTATTATAAACTCGAGAAGAGTCTAACAAAACGTTTCTGTATTCTAAACGCTAATAATCGATTTTATTTTGTATTTTTACCATAGTGACATTATTATTTATTAAGACTTGATGTTGTACATTTTTTTTTTTTATAAAATGTGTATAGCGTAATGTAACAATGTTCAGCCAAATGAAACACAAATAACGTTTAGAGGCATTCTTGTCATAAAAATAATAATTATTTTTAATACATATTATTATTATGTAAATATTATATTTATCTTTTATTATTATCATCTTGTATTTAAAATCATTTCAAAACCACTAGAAACCAAATTTGTTTTGATTTACTATTTTGTACTCGCCGACATTCCGAAAGCGATAATATTGTAAATTTAGACCTAACTGAATTTTAATCAACACATAGTATTAATTGCCTAGTAAAGATTTCCACGGTAATTTAAAAGACTCGTTTTATCTTATTAATTTGTTTACAAAGCGATATTTTTGTAGGTTTTTTTTTTACAATAATATGCTAAACACAATATTATATATTGTAATTATTATCTATTTATGTTTTGTTGTTTTTATATTTTTTAAACAAAGAATAGTTTATTTTTGTAATAAAATATGTAAGTAATGTACATTTTTTTTAACACCAAGTTGTTTTAGCACAAATCGAATAATGCTCAATGTTGTATTAATTGTATTGATCAAATGTAAATAAAACTTTTTGTAAACGTTTTTTTGCCTAAATAATTATTGAAAATTATTTTATTGACAAAATTAAAATTAAATATTTGCAATCGTGTTTAATTATTATCGTCATAATTTATTAAACCATGTATAATTTTTTTTTAATTTTGATTTCATATATTATAATTCTATAAAAAAAATTGTGTACCTCTTTCTTCTTCTTTTTTTTATCGAAAATTATTGTGTTTAGACTAGCATTGTACTCGCCACAAGGTTTACAAATACTTAATAGTATAAAACTTAGTTCTCTATGTTAATTCAGCAACTTAATGGACACCCCAAGTGTTAAATATTAAAAACATTCAATCAACTATAAAAAAAACTTCTACAACCATAAATGAATATCAGTTCACGTAGCAATAGACCGTAAGTGTAATACAATTGTATGATATTAAAAATTCTTATCAATTTATTTAAAATATATTTGCTACAATATGAATTTTATCACTATTTGTGTAAATTGTTTTACAAAAAAGCGAAAAACATATCAAATTTTATAACAAATAAAAAACAACATGCAATACCTTAATAAATACAAACTAAAAGTAAATAATATAACATAAACTGTAATAAATAAAATTGAAGGTAAATTTAAAATAAGATGATTTCTTTTATAATAACAGAATACAATGCCATATTCTTTTAATAATTACTATTTCGTTATTATATATTAGCGATATTTTAAAAGTAAGTAAATAGACATTAAGAACTTAGTATGTCGATAATTATTTCTAGTATTGAATATGTTCAACATAATTATCAGATTTTATACCTTAACTGTTGTACAAACATGTACAATGTAATATCTCAAAGGTATAAATCAAAATCAACACGTTTGGACGAATGAAATTCTGAATTTGAATTACATTTGCGTACCCAAATGGGTTCTTTGAATTTATCTTCTTCTTTCCATTTCAACATTTGTTCGGTCTCGTAAGGTCCGAATACTTCATTGCTTTCCAATGAAAACTTATACTCCCACTGTAGCTTGTTATCTGAAAAATATATCACTCGTTCATAAAAAATATTTTTTCTTTTTATAATAATAATTGCTATATAGAGGAATTTTAAATTCTACCTGAAGAAGGTTTTGATTCTTCTTCACTAGTCTGACTGGTGTTGACCAATTTTTCTTTTTCTTTTTCATCAAAATCATCAGCATACATGTCTAAATCCGATGCCATCGAAGTCGATGGACCTGCTTTGTTTTCCGCTCTATCAATCTATAAACAATAATAAATGATATGATAAAAATATTTACAATTTTATTTTTATCAAGCGACATTACGATTATATTATGCTCTAACCATTTAAAAAAACTTAGTCTTAATTCTGGGATATTTTGTTAAGGAGGTATGAAAGATTAAAAATTTACAATTTGATATCAACGCTAATGATCAGTAAAATTTTAACTTTATAATAAATACTTTTATTTGAATTTATTAAGTTTTCTTATTTTCGTTTGTAATTGTTAAACAAAATATTTGATGACCTCGGTTAAAAATAGATAGACTTACTATTTGTTTTATTTGTTCATGTGTTTCTTGATAAACATCCATATTGCCGTTGGCAGTTAAAATCTGATTTGCCAATTCTGTGAGTCGTGTGACTTTTGTTGAAGACCCATCATCGGTACTCAATCCTGCTTTTTTCAGTTTCCATCTTTCAGCCGTTGTCAGTCTTTTATTTCCTCCCAGACGTCTCAGCGCTTTTGAAATTGTTTCCTTGGGCTGCATCATGTTTATGATTTCTTTATACGCTGCAATAACATTGAACGTCGTAAGATCATCCAATGTGTCGTCTGATTTTTTCGGTTCCTTTGACATATCTTTAATCTTCAAACACAATACCCCGATTTAAGTAAAAATCATAAATAAAGAATCAAATAATAAAAATAAGAATAACTCACTTTACACCAGTCAATATTTTCTAGCCAGTTATCTTGTATTTCTTTTTCCTTTTTCCAATGATACATTCCTTCTGTATCAAAATGGCCTTCTTCGAGTTCCTCTTGCATATTAAAAGGTGTTATTCGTATTTCGCCATCTTGACCAACCACTCCGTCTTCTTGCCCTGGTTCCATTAATAAAATAAATATACATATATTTAATAGGATAATATTTTTAAACAGATGTAAAATCGCAAATGAAATGTTCATCTTTATTGTAATTGAATGTTTATCTTTATAAATATTGTAACGGTCAACATCTCGACTAACCTTACGACGATTTTTCAAAGAAAGAAAGAAATTAAAATAAAATATGTCTAATAACGCTCATCATAAAATATCATGCAGGGGCTAACCATGTACTGTGATTGTTCACATTTTAAGATTAAATTATCAACGTCAAAATTATCTTATATAATTATTTCATAAATTCATACTAAGTTAAGTATAATACAATACCTTCGATGTCTTGTTCTTGCATAACATCGTAGTTCTTTTCGTCCACGCTATCGTCGTCGTCTTCGGAGTCTGCCACATTATTTAACTTCTCAAACTTGTTGTGCTGAAAAACTTCTTCTTCTAATTTACGCTTGTTCATTTTGGTATTTTACTACACTCTTATGGGTATGAAAAAACTGTATAGTATCTATCGAAGAATGAATAATGCGTTATTGTAAACGATTTTAAATTTACATTACGGGTTTAGTATTGCTGTTATCAAATAATATCCGTTATCGGTAAATATGTAGCAAAATAATACACAAACAATGTGACAAAAAAAGCGACATATATGTCGACAGCAGCTTGTGATAACTTGGAAATGGCTGCCGATTTTCTCAGGCGGCCGTGTATTTCTTACAAGATTAAAAACGGACACCATGTTGTAAAAATTGATAACACGATTTGCTGACTTACCTGTGACCGTAATGTAATCAATTTGCAAACTAGTCTTATCTGGACATTTCGCCGACTGGTCTAAACTAAGCTTTACGCTTTCCCATTCGACACTTAAGCCTTAAAATATTTTTAAAATGTAATTAATTTAATACAACAAAGACGAGGTCGTTTTAATATCATCCAAAATGGAAAACAATGCGAGTGATAATTCATCACCGGAAGCGGATGATAAATCGCCATCGGACGAAACCGATGCGGAAGTAATATGGGAAGTCATCGACAAAGAAGACGATGGTAAAATTTGTGTAAACATTGTACCCACTTGTTTTATGTATTTCGTTACAAACCGTACATATTTTGTCTTTTAGTGGACTTACGGAATATATCGTCTGTGGTTTTCACAGTCATATTACTAGTAATTGGTATACCTCTTTGGTGGCGGATGACGGAGGTCCAGCGGCACTCACTTCCGTATGCGAAAATTTCCGAGCTTGGTACGAGAAATGTCGTTATTGCCACTGATGTTTTTGTTTTTACTCAAAATCCTATAGACACAGACCGCATTATTAATGAAATAAAACTGGAATTCAATTCAAGTAACTTAATTCCTACACTTTTGTATAACATATTATTAAATATTGTTTAAATTGTTCATTAGGTATGTTTGAGATCAATGCTCAACGTTCGACTCTGGTAAAAAAAAGCGACAGTTTAAATCAACTAGAAGCTATAACAACTCCCTTGGGTTCACTGCATTTAATTGAAACAAACATTGTGGACGGTATTTTAGTCGGTCTTGGTCGTAATGTGTATTTCCCTCCTGACACAAGTAAAACACTTTGAAATTCAATAATTAACTCGTTACTTATTTACCATAATGCCCCAGGTATTTGGTTATTGATGGATACGTTAAAAAGACTGTTACAAACTGATGCGTTATCGGACTCTATGATATCGATGTTAAATCCGGGCAAGCACTCTGAAGACGAACAAGTAGTAGCTGATCGTCAACGTCGAGTGCGTCCATCGTCAGATTACAATATCTTACTTACAGTTGTAAACCCGGAACCTGATAATCTTAAAGTTTCTTGGACCCCAGAAATTCCTTTAAATAGTAAGTTTACGGTGTGTGTGTTATTTGATATTTAATTAATAATATTTTACATTTTGTTTATTTAGGATATCTAATGCCTTTATTGAAGCAGTTGAGATTAATTGCTAATTTTTCTGTACAATCTCAGTGGTTATATTTAATCGATTTAGTACAAAAGCCAATCAATCTGAATGGTACATTTGTGTTAGATAAAAATCAAGCTCAATACATTATAACTCCACTGGAAAAAAAACTAGGTAAGTAAACTATTTTCGGTCTTTTTCATAATAATTGTTGTTACTCCAAAATTACCTACTTATAATTATATTAATGTCTTAGGTTCCGGAGTGTCAAAAAATCCATGTATTCATTTTGTCGTTTACGTTGTGCCTTGTACATATACACCTCTATACTTTCACGAGAATAATAGACTTACTTCGTCAATGATGTCGGCTCGCTGGGGAGGAGTCCAGTTTGTAAATGCCAATCCTGAGGCATGCAATAAAACCAAAAGCTTTACACCAGACGATCTCATCATTATGACTCCGATTGTCACACAATTTCATTCGTTAATTGGAGTATCAGACATATCAAAACACGTTTCAGTTATGCCACTGAAATCGTCTACTTTACGTGCTTGGCAATTGGATTCCATGTACAGACTTAAGATCATTGAACAATACACTAACGCACGCATTACCCTTACTTCATTGTCGAGACTTTTGGGTGAAATCAACAACATCGTTATCATTGAAGAAGTCGGAAAAGCCGTCACTGAATCGGTAGAAGCTGCCTTATCAGTGTTGCAAAGAATAGAGGAAGGACGTTTGGAGGATGCCTTAAAATATAGTAGAATTGCATTTGAGACTTCGGAATTTGCATTTACTCATCAGTCATTGTTGGCATTGCTTTATTTCCCTGACGATCAAAAATACGCTGTGTACATACCTTTATTTTTACCCGTTATGATTCCCGTGCTAATGTCGTTAAGAGGAATTAAAAACTGGATTCAGTTCAAATACAAACATTAACTTAGGGAAAAACTGTAATTCTATTGTATACATTAATTTTTTTATTTATTATAATAACAAACTATTGCTTTATTTGTTTAAGTATTAAAAGAGCACAAGACTAAATACAAATTTATTTTTCTAATATTTAGGTACTTTGAACGATGATGATCCATCGTCTTTACTACCAGACGGAACCTTGCGTTTTTGTATAATATTTTGGATTTTGTTCCATTCCCGATCGAGTTCTGCCTTTTCGTTTTTCTCCTTGTTATGCTTACGTGTCCTTCTGCCATCTGTCATTTTCACGCCATACTGGAAGGCCGCTTTCGGTAACGCTTCCTTGTTACTCATGTATGTGCCGTACTCCTCGGGTGTGTCAAAGTCCCATCGACCAACTGGACCTTTTTTATTGCCCAAATCCATTTTAGTATAATCGGCTTCATCGTCTGAGTCCTCGATAGCATCGTGCATTTCATCCAAACCAGGATAGCACTCTGCATAACCCGTTGGCTCGGCAGCTAAACGAGATAACAAGCCCATTTGATTTTTACGCTGAAACGTTGTTTTGCTCAAGGCCTCCTAAAAAAATTAATTCAAAATTCCAAAAAAAAATCTTAATATATTAATTTTTACTTTACTTACCCATCCCATTTCATCTCGTTTGTGATGTTCTTTTTCAACTTCTTTCTCCTCTTCCTTGGAACCTTTGAAGTAACTTGATTGTTTCTTGTTGGACGATTGTTCAGAACGTTTGAGAGTAGAAGGTTCGTAGTCTGGCAATTCTGGGTAAATGTTATCGTCATACACCTGTTTGTCACGTCTTTTAGATTTCTTTAAGTGTTTTGGTCCAGTCCGTAAATAAGAAAGAATCTGAGCTAATTTGTTTATGACAATATCGTTTGTAGTCAAAGTTGGTCTGTCGTCCATGCTAGGTACATCAGACTTGCTGCGAATTAATGTCGTCGGAATGTCAGTATCTGTAATGTCTTCGGTTAAATCAATTATATACGCCATTCGACCTGGTGCAAATAACGGGTTCCGAATCATTTCATTTTCAGACAATGCGACTCTGCAAACAATATAAAAAACAATTAAACTTGTATTCATTTATACACAAAAAAAAAATACTTGTTACCTGTAAACATTTCTCCCTAATCGTGTTTTGAAAATCATTTCATCTTCTTCTTTTGCTTTTTCTTTGGCTGGTTTATTGGACGCCAGTTGCTCCATTTCTGTTTCTTGCTCGTGTTCTTTCGCAGTTATTTCACTTTTGACTTTCTGTAGAAGTGCATAATCTAAACCTTTTACCAAGTGAGTGTGTTCCATGTCCCCTCCCAAGAACTTGGATTCCTGAATCATTTGACGCCTCCGTTCTGCCGCATCCATACCAGATTTCATATCGGGTGCCACTGCCCTGTATCCACTCGCAACAGCTACTGGGTCTTGAGACTGATAATCTGGATTGACTCCTACTCGACGTTCTTTAGCTCTATCTCGATACTTCTCAGCCAATTCTGCCATTTTATTTTCTTCTTGTTTTTTCAGTTTGGCATAGAATATTTTTTTCTTACGCCGTAGCTCTGCCTTGTCGCTCGATCCCCCAGCATCTAACTTGGACGATGGCGTTTTCGATGATTGCGACTCGGATCCATTAGATACCGAAGGAGTGGCAGATGGTTGCGAACTCCTCGGGGTCATGAGCAAACGACGAAAATCGGCATTGGTCAGCCGTTGGGTTTGACTCCCGTCTTGGTTTTCCGTTTCAGGCATTTTGGATGTATTGTAACGACACGACAAGCAAATGAACAGTTGGCTTTAACAACGGTCGGTAGAGATCAAGATACTGCCAGAAATAGCATTGAACACGACCAAATTCAAACAAAAATACTATTTAGTAGTATTTGGGTTTATTTATCTTAAGCCATTTTAAATTCAAAACAAATAGAATAGGTACAAAAACTACAACACTTCAAGAATCAAGTACATAAACCATTATTGTATCGCTTATCAAAATCGTGATAAAAATTCGGTCCAGTTTTAGGCTACCAGGGTATTAGTACCGTTGTTCATATCCTTGGTAAATACCGCTTGTTATGATACCAACTGGTCCTGATTGTATCGCCGGTAGTTTTTTAAACGTAAAACTGATAAAGGATATATACATTTTTAATATTTTCAATTTTTACTTTGAACTTTCTAGTTCTTAAAGTGTTGCTCGAGTTGAAATAGTAAAAACAATCGTTCGGTTTATGACAGATCTTATGTGTTGGTCTTCAAACCTAATGTACAATGGCGGTTTACGGTATGAAACAATTGGAGGAACGGCACATACCTACTACAGTACTGAAAATGGAGTGGTCAAATAAAATGGATTTGCTGGCTATTGCCAAAGAACATGGTAAACATATTAAAACCGTTTCTCATTCAATGTATTTCCATCGACTAGAATTATGATAGCAATAATAGTTAGTATAACAAAATATGTCTTAGGTGAAGTATCGTTGCACAGACTTACGTGGCAGCGAGTTTGGTCGTTGGGTGCACCAAGCGAAAAAACTCTTGTGACCGCGATGGCTTGGAGACCTGATGGAAAACAATTAGCCGTGGCTTACGATTCGTGTAAAAAAAATATAGACTTTCTCGGATATTGTGACGAGTATCCTAATTTATTTTTCTTTCCTCCTAGGTGATTTATTGTTGGTCAACGTCGAGAACAAAGAAATTACTTTTAGTAAAAGAACTGAAAACAAAATTACTTCTCTAGTGTGGGTGCAACAAGAAAAACTGCAAAAAAGAGAAACTATAGATTCTGTTCTACTACAGGTAGGAAAAATTATTTTTCCATATTATAATAAATAGTTTTCCTATTATTAAATCTCATTTTGTTTTAGACCATTGGATTGAATTATCTTCCTAAAATTCAAAACGTTGTGCGCGATTCAAACGAAGAGGAAAATAAAGTGCCACAAATTCAAGATAACTTGAATCTTTTACTCGTAGGCTTAGACAACTGTGAGGTGGAAATACTAGCTTTGGGTATTTTTTTATGTGGAACGTTAAAGTTGGCCGAAATATTTGGCAAAGAAGGTTCTGTGCTGAATATGTGTATGCCGGTGGATTTCAGTTATTTGTACGTAGCCATTCAATACTTTTACGGGCAAGTAGATCTAGTAACAATAAAATTACAAGAATGCGATACCGATTGGAATGACGTTTACGATTTGGCGTCCAAACATGATCAGTTGCTTTGCTCGCTGGAATATTTGGACCAGACGATGAAAAACATATTAGAAACCTGGGAGAATGTCTCGTTGATGGAAATGGAATTGAAATTGAGTTCTTACATGCCAGAGGACCCAGAAAATGTGTCGACAGAATTATTGGAACTTTTAATATATGGTATATTAACAGAACGCATGGAACAATTTTTAAAAAGAGACCTGACCGATAAAGGTATAAAAAAAATTGGGCTAGCAATAGAGTCAAGTCACACAAATATCCATAAACTAGTCGTAAAGCAGTTATCGGAAATTACTAGCCAAATTTTATTTCAACTCGTTGAATTTTCAGGCATGTCACTGAAAAAATACGAATGTTTAGGATTAACTGAAAACAGTGTTGAAAAAGCTATGCGGTCAGTCAATATTTTCCTGAAAAAATGTAACGAAGTGCAAATAGTAATTGAAGAGTCGCTGACCAAGTACAAATTGTTTTTCAAATGGTTATGTGGCATGATGGTGAAACTAAACGACGAAAACTCCGTTGTGGATCCTTCTCTCACGGATACGTCGCAACAAGAGCTCAACCTTTTGGCAGAATATATCTATGATTTGGGCGAGAAATCCAAACTCAACAACTACAAACTCGATTGCGTCGGTCAATACTTCCTAGACAAGGAGTTGGATTTTCCATACGAAAAGCACAACCAATGGAGGAGTATATTACGCGAGAATCCGTGTCTTGAAGAAAATTCACTGATAACACCAGAGATGAAAAAAATATCACTAATGCAACAATTCAACGTGTTAAAGAACGATCTCGTCAATATTTTTGCCCAAAAGAAATCGTTCTTTGATAAAACTTTTGTTTTCTACAATAATGTCCCATTAAGTAACCACACTCAGACCAGTTCATCTCATAAAGTCACAATGGTCGACATGCCAAAACATAAATTATTAGTGTGCTGTGTAGATCGAAATGCCTACGATTTCAGTTTTTACGAGACGATGGCCTACGAGGACACGCATGAAGTGACTCATCGTAGTACTAATGTGTTTTATATGAGCGAGGGGTCAAAGCAAACTATCTATGACATTCAATTTTACAGTCAAGAGTTCTTGTCAATTCTCACGGAAACCGATTGCGACAAAAGAAACTCTCTGTTCGTACAATTATCGACGAGTAGTTTACGCAGTCACTGTTCCACCGACGGACTTTGTGTTTGTAACATAGCAACACAACAAATAGATTACACTAGTCGGATAATAGAAAACATGGTGGCGACAAAGTTTGCTGTGTGCGGAACCAGAAAAGTCGCCGTATTGTTATCAGAAAGCAAACACAAAGTCAGATTATTCGAAATGGAAGTCGAAGACGAAGAAGACGATGAGGACGATGATACTATGGACATTACGCGTGATTCTAATTATGAATGAATAGAATTAAAATATATGCAGTTTTTGAGGTCTTAAGGTGCTCACGGGGTACCTAACCGACTACACAATTGATTATACACGTCTGGATAAATCAATGAATCTCGGTTTTTCTGTCGGACCATTATTTTTTTATTCCTCGTAATATTATTTTCACTAAAAATATTAATACACATTGAAATACTTTTTCGTATAATATATTGTATATATATATATATAATATTTATAATTTTAAAATTCTAATTAATAATTTTTACATTGTTGATTGTACTTAATTGATTTAAAACTATCAATTATATATATTATTGTTATTATCATTAAAATCTTAGTCTGTCAGTTAAATGCTCAGCGAATAACGCTTTCGCTAGGCTTTTGTCTCGGTGATCGTTTTTGCCAGTCCGGCTTCTTTTTCTAATGTAGGATTGTCTATACCGGTTTGGAAAATGTTATCTTTGGATATTGTCGTCTTTCTGTATATTTGTTTGTCGTTTGTCACATCCTCTTCAGAGTCGTCTTCTGTAAACAAAAAAATAAAACATCATTTACAAGTTACTGAAATAGTAAAAAAATCCAAAATGTATTTCTTAATATAAATACCTCTAAAGTGTAACGTTCTATTGGTAGTCTTGTAAGACGTTAAGTAATACAAATAAACTAATAAAAGTATTAAAGTTAATACGCTGAGCACGGCTACTACTCGAATCGTATTCACCTGAAAATCATCAAATGGATTTCACATTGAGCATAAAAATATTTAATCTTTTTTTTTTTTGTTGTAGACAAGTCCCTAATTTCATATTAATAAGTAATATAGTATATAATATTTAAAAAAATTGTTTTTTGGTTGAAAATCTAGTGACAAGATTTTCTATGGACAATATTTTTAAGTTAAAACTTAATAAAAAAAAAAATGCATACATCTTTATTTATAAAGTTTAAATGATAATGTGATAATGAATATAACAGCTTTATAGTTGATCTATTCGGTTATAAAATTATCGATCTCTTACATAGGTCACGGTCCAAAACAATGAAACATAATTTATCGAAGCAGACAAGTCTAATTATTGTTTTATTATGTGCAAAACATAAATGTTAATGACATTTTAAGTAATTCTAGTACCTAATTAGTCCGACGCTTATTGCTATTATTTCATATAAATTTGGAACTAATTAGACTATTTTTTAACAAGTTAAAAAGTGCCGTATTTACAAGTTACTAAATATGTACACTTTATGGGCGTTGTTCTCGATTTTGAAGAGGTAGGGGTCAACTTTTTGAATTTGTGGCCCAAAAAAGTACCTTTCAGAATAGAATTTTCAAATTTGCTATCTATAAAGTTGCTACATGACTAGGTTGAGTGGTTTGGGAGATACCGACACAAAAATAAAAACACATTGTTGTTACACCTCGGCTGAAATCAATTTTTTTGTTTTCGCTCACCGTGTAATCATTTTCCCATACATCTTCCCAGTCTCTTTTGATCGCCAAGTTTACCGACCTGGCGGACATAGATATGCTTCCCAGATTTTTACAAACGCAAGTGTACACGCCACTTTCCTCGGGCGTGACTTCCTGTTGAAAAACAAAATAAAACATTTTAAAAACACAAACATAAGTGATTTTATGTCAATGGAAAATGTAGGTACTTCTTTTCTAGGCGCTAATAACGTAAAAAATTATTATTTTTTTTTAACTTTTAACTAATGAAATTTTTTTATTTTTATTTTTGTTCGATTAATATACATAATTATTAATTATAAAAAATTAATTAAAGATTAATTATACATAATTATTCGATTATATTTCTTATAAGTCTTTGAAAAAAAATGTATTAGATACCTATTGTTAATTGTTATGTGATTAAAAAACAATATATCTACTGGAAGATATGTTTTCATTCAGTTTTGATCACATACAATTTATCTACACAAATTTTATCTAAAATTTTAAATTAACATTAATAATGTTATAATAAGACTATAATATAAAAACGGTTTTTGTATTCATTTTTTTAAACCACAAATCACGTTTTTTTAAAAGATAATTTTGTTTGACCACTCTTCTTAGAAAGTGACAGTGACTCTTTATTTTAAAAATAACTGAAGGTTAGGTACATATTATTTTTGTAAAGCTGCGGTCTATGATCCTAACCAATTTTACATTATAATAATTAATTTTAAGGTTTAAGATTGCATGCGGTTGGTTTTTAAGGAGTTTTGTATAGGCAATATTTAAGAAAAAAGTGGTTTTAATAAATTTCGATCATGTCAATTAATTAACCGGTTAATTTGTATAAGCTTCATGGTATTATTTTTTAATTTAATTATTTTTCTATGAGTAAAAACCATTTTAGTTAATATAACATCAAATCAAATTTTCCAAATCAAAATCAAATCAAATTTGGAAAGGGTTAAAGTAAAAAATTGAAAAAAGTACCCTGACCGATCATAAGTAAACTTTATGGCAAATTCAAATCTGTTTTAAGATTGCTTATCGGATCACTGGTTCGGTCTATGCAATGGAATAAAAATGATGTGTTTTGACTGAAAAAACCCGACCGCATGCAATCCCCTTAATAACATAATTAGATAATAAGATAAATAAATAATTAGATAAAATAGCTCTTTCCGTTCCCCTTCCAACAAAAGCAATTTAGTTAGTTCCCACTCGCCTTTTCCAAAAATGTTATATGCTAAAAACGATAACGAGGTCTGCGTAACTATATTTAGATGGATTAAAATCGCTGACAAGATGCTGTGATAGTCCGAAGAATAAATTAACTACCAAAAAAAGAGTTCTAATCAGTAAACTAATAATTACTCGTTACTGACAAGATGCTGTGATAGTCCGAAGAATAAATTAACTACCAAAAAAAAGAGTTCTAATCAGTAAACTAATAATTACACGTTACTGTTTAAGCTTTCAATTACGACTTTTCAACAAATTGTCTACACCGAACTCCTTAATAAAAATCGGGTACTCACATCCTCTTAATGGGATTGTATGCGGTCTGTTCTGTTTATGTGTTAAGCCAAAAGCCAGACAAACTTAGGACAAAATCAGACTACTTAGGATAGTCCGATTTAAATTCTGCAAAGATATACGAGTTCTTTGACAACTTTACTAGATTATGAAGAAAACAGATTTTCGATTTTTTGCTTTTTTATGTAAAAAAATTGGTTTTTAATATTGAAAAAAAATGCAAATTTAATTTATGTAATTTCAAGAAACTGAAATTTTTAAACGAAAATCGGCTTTTTACAGAACATAGTAAAGTAGCCAAAAAACTCGAATATCTTTACAGAACTGCAATTGAACTATCCTATGTAGTAGACATTTTTTCTAGTTTTTAGGTCTAAAATAAACCAAAATGGCTTCTACTCATAGAAAAAATTATTTAAATTAAAATTAATGTCTTGAAGCTTACAAAAATGAACCGGTAAATTAATCGACATGGTCGAAATTTATTAAAACCTATTTTTTTTTTAATATTGCCTTTACAAAAACATACCGCATGTAATCCTCTTAAGACAAAATGAGTGTCTTGTCCTTAACGAATCACCCTGTATATATTATTTTACCCAGTGTCCTAAGTTACCCACTATGTCCCAGGAATGCCCGGTTTTGCCGGTGATAAAACTTGTTCATTATAGTTTTTTTTCTTGTGTACCGACCTTTATGTACAGGGTGCCGGTGAGCACTTCGTATCTGAACTTGTTGCTGTCCATGTCTGAGCCCGGCCCGATGATCTCGTTGGACTTGAGCCACCAGAACTGAAACCGGTGGTCCTTGTCGTTGCTGGGACACTCCAGCACGGCCGTGGCGCCGGGCTCCACCTCGATGACGGCGTTGTCCACAATCACTGGCCGTCCGCCGCTGTTGTCGTCCACCGGCCGTCCGCCGACCAAGGCGGACGCCGCCAACAGCTGCAGTAGCACGCACACGCCGACCGTCGTCCGCATTGCTAGAACCGCGACGGCCTAAACATAACGCGAGACACCGCCGTTTTGTTAATAATAATGTTAGGCAGGTACAACATTTTTTTGTTTATTTAATTAGTTAATTATAATTAATGTGTCCAGCGCGAACACTGCGTTTCCACAAACACAAACGTACCTATAGATATTTTTATATAATAATATAATAAGTACACTGTGTTTATTTATTTGCTAATTATTATATTATACTATTTTAAAATTTGCATTTAGTTAAAACGCGCCGCGTCCGACCGAACAACATAGTGTGATAATATAATAATAATATATAATATTAGTAGGTACACACCGTCACCGCGATCGAAAATAACTCATTTGATTTTTATTTTATTTTACTTTCCCCGCTAAAATTGTTGACTACCGTCCAATTATTTGCATTTGCTCCTTTTAATTTTTTATTTAGCTACCACCGCCAAACACTACCGACGATCGCGCGCCACACTACTGCCGATTATTTTAAACGTTATGTTTCTGGTGAAAACTTAATATAATATAAAAACAAAACAAAACCTATCTTTGGGCGGTCCGCGGCCGCCGTTTACCATATCATTATTGGTTCGTTAACTTTTTAGGATAACGCGGCCTTGTGCAGTGCAGTTGTGCACAAATCAAAATCGCTTTTGATCTCTATATAAATAATCATCCTACCTATTTTTCCCCTCCTTATATATTATCACTTCCACCTATTTTCTTAATTATATGCATATATTATTATTACCCTCCTAGAAATTATTAATATCCCATTTACATCATACAACAGTCGTTGGTGTTTTGTTTTGTCCTATATATATTTATATTATAGTATTTTAGTCGCCCTTGTCACCGTTGCATTTTTTTTTAATTCGAGTGATCTTCAACAAATATAATATATTATACTGGGTCAAAGTCGTTGCGACGCCCGTTCGATATCCTTATGAAGATCATAATATATATATATATGTTTTTTTTTGTTTCTATTGCGATTGTTTATACATTATTGTTATTCTATATTTAATTATTCTTGGCCAACCGGATGACTATATGATATTTTACACGGTAAAGACGGTCATAAAATATCATACAAGTCATAAAAAATACATTCTAGGTAGATATATATAAACAGTATAGTCTGTATAATAATCAAATTTAAATTACTTTTATAAGGAATAGTAAGAACGAAATTTATATAAGATATTTGAGGACTCTAGAAGCCAATAGGGAGAAGTGCATTTTTTTAAACTATGTATCTACAGCAGTAGATACCTAATGCCTAATAGCCTCCAACACATCATATACAAATATTGGAAGCCAGAGGATCTTAATTACACTGTATGAGGACATACTTACGTACTAGAAGTTGTTCATGAACATTTTTTTTTTTGGAACCAACAAAGGAGCAAAAAAAAAGTATTTATAGTTATTTTACTGTTACAATTTCTGGGAATACGAGTGAATATATTATACCAATTTATATTTCAAACATTAACCCATGTAAATATGTACTACTAATATTAAACGATAATTTATCTTACATACAATATAAACGGACACGGAATTAAATGATAATGGTCCAAAAAGTGTAGATAAACTAGAAAAATTATTTATGGCCGTCTTTATCTAACGAAAAACTGACATCTCTTTCAGTTTTAAATACTGAAGACGAATTACTCAAATCCATTAATTGGTCTGATATTAAACAACACAATTGCCGTTGTAAAATCAAGGAAAAAGAGTATTTAAAATATTAGTTTATAACACCACGTTTTTCCCCAAAACTTAGCTTAACCAAAATTATTTATTCTGAACTTAGGTAAGTATTAATAATCGTAACAATTCCTTTTCGTTAACAAATTATTTTTAGTAATGAAGCATGATAATATTCGTGTTGCCTATAAATTCAATGGTACAAAATTGCGCTCCAAATAAACATATTTAAATACAAAAAGTAATTTTTGATTTTAATTTTTAAGTATACATTTATATTTTTATGGCTCGAGTGCTCTGTATGAATGCTATATAATTGTTGTTGCCTTCAAGTCTCTATTCCAAAACTGGTACGTTATTGGTACACACCTCCCGTACCCGTCTTTTGAAAAAAACATACATAATATGAATTGCTCAATCTGCTTAACAAACATAGAAAATTACAATGTTGGGCTAGTGCAACAGGTGCTGGGTATAAACAGAGGTGTATAATACATTTTAACAATACAATTATTACTGGCAACTGCTATACCGACCATCGAGTATTTTGCAAACATGTTCTCTTAGGTACCTACCTACTGCAGGGAGCGATTGCTGTTTAATTGAATATTTTATAACAAATGATTGTAGCTATATTTTTGAAGGTTTTAATAAAATGATTAGCACACACATATTATACACACCGTAGATGTAATACTTGTGATAGGTCATAGTTTATTATGTTATTTAGATACATGTGGTGTTAATTAAATAAACTCCATGCTACCGGGTTACTCGAATAGTTACATAAAAATATGTGTACAGACAACAATAATATACTGTTTTGAAAAATATGTTAATTTATGTACCATTACTGTAAGCGACGTCCTATACATGATGATCAATTTAACGAAAGATTTCTTGGAAAATTATCGCAATTTTATAGTTTTATTTTTTGAGAAAAAAAAATTGTGTATGTTATTGTACAATATTATAAAATTACAAAATATTTAATAAGAAGATTAAAAAAGATCTAGAAAGTCACTTATATATGTATATATAAATTATAGAGCAAACGCAATAAATACACATAAAACCTTCTCGACTCCACATGGAAGATCCAATACAGCAATATTATATCACCGACACTGAATGATATAAATCGTTATTGTATTAAACAAGGACTTGGCTATGATAAAAAAACAGATTTTTGTCGCGATGAGATTTAGTTAGAATTCATTATTGCCGCCTGTAATGTGATGTATAGCATACCTTGTACTATCCACGAATCGTATTGGCTTTTTGTTAATCCATTATTTGTGTGACGTTTTATCGTGTGAAATGCAAAGTAATGTTGTCCGACAAACTTCAAGAGCCAAACGCACAAACTTTAAAAAATTATTCCCACAATATCCGAACGGATCGTTTGAACATATTAATCTACACCATACGAATGATGGTATTTGAAAATTACTATTGTTACAGAATCGTCGGTCATAATAATTGTCGTCGTTTGATACTGGACGCCTGTACAACCAAATCTTACTGTACTAATTACAGTTCAAAACGAAATGTTATGCTCTGTAATTATTATTTATGAGATTTGCGCACTTAACATAATATAATAATAATACAGCGTCAATGAATGGTTTGTTATCTAGTCGATTGTATCGAGATGGTTTGATGTAATCACAAAATGTGTCACGAGTGACACACAGCTAATGAACGGTGTGCTTCAATACTTAAAGGAATTCGAGATCCGTAACAATCGTCGAGAATAAAATAACATAATAATATTATAGTGATCATAAAGTCGATGACACTGCATGAACTGGTCGGCTATCGATTCTCAAAACAAATAAAAAACCTTATCAAACTACATGGAAATATTGTTATGCAACCGTGTGAAAATATACGTTATCCCGGCTGTATTGAAGTAAAATAAAAACAATGATTCACGTTTCACAATTCACTCGATTAGCACGATTCAATCAAGATGCTACTGAACCTATTTATTCGTGTAGAAGCTCCTAAACATTTGTCCAGCAGGCCTGCTATCTATATTCTATACCGTGTCATGCTAGCTGCTATGAATGTTGTGGAGATATACAAAGACAAAACTTGGTCAGAGCAGGAGCGAATAAAAAAAAAATTAATCTATAAAGTTGTCTGTAGCTATAGCTAGTCTGAGAAAACGGCAAGTTGCTATTCCGAATTTGTGTTATACCTAGCTAGTAGGTACCTACCTGGTTGATCTTGAATCAATGCAATATGATTTTAAAATGAACCTTTCACGGTTCGCCCGGCCATTAATGTCGATCCGAGGTGCGGGCTAACGATGCGAGACGGCAGTGGCTCCGGTGGTTCTGGTGGTCTGAAGACCGCTGATGATGTTGGTCCCAGCTGTAGTACGATCGGAGTGCACGGCATTTCGGCATTGGCGAATCATTCAAGTAGAAATCTAGTTAATTTCTTCCTTGTAAACGCGATATCGATTGTAATCTAATGCGTTTAACCTTGTCACATTGTACGGCGGCGTTGAAACATCATGACAATTCGGCTACTTCGTCGCAAGAGGGGAGGGGGAACACACAAGGCGTACAAAGGATCTGTACGGATTGAGCTGTTTCGTCGAAATTGTGTGGCTAAATTCAACCACGGGGGCGGTACCAGAAAAACTATTAAAATCCGAAATCTATGTGTTTTGAGCATCCATAGTGTTGACCAAGTAACATCTACGAACCCAGCTTTTCAAGGGCGAACCGTTAGAAAATGACCATGCACGATTCAGGGTATACCAAATACTGCTAACCTTACCTCACCTCAAGGTAGGAATAGATCCGTCGGAGAATCGGTTGGATGCAAGTAAGACATCATTCTTTGCTCGTAATTGGCGCGTTTTCAATCGCGAGGAAGTTAATTTGCCGTTAATAATGCTTAAACCGACGGTTCCGGTCAAAATGTAGAAATCTATATCCTTGACGACACTGTGTACAGAACGATTCCGAATATTTTAACGAGAAAGAAGCTAATTAACCGCTGAGGTTAAGTGTACTAGTTTTGTTTATGTATCAATATTCTGCTTAGTGACATTTGTAGATGAACATTCAACTAATGATAGAGTTTGCAACAAACATAAATTCCAGTTGATTGGGCCCTATATGGAGGCTGGCACTCGACCACCTATAAAGGTTACCCGTTACCCTTCACCCAAGGCGTTCAAAACATCTTGGCTATCATACACCCAAAAATCCATCCAAATATAAACCAATTCCAAACGTTTGGTATGCCGCATAACGGTGCAAATAATATACAACTCAAACGATTCATATTATGACCAATTTCACATTGAAAATACAAAAAATACCTACAAAAAAAATGCTTATTGTTTTAAGCTGTCTTTTTCTCGGCTTCCTCATTGTCATGACTTATGTCATTGAGGACTTTTGTTATAATTATGATTTTTTTTTAATGCATTTCTTGCTCACAATACAATATGTTTTTTGTCTCGTCCTACACAAACCGTTAAGCGGTATAAACCGATATTTTGTCACTGGAATCATTTTACATTTGTATTCGTCTATCTATCTAGAAAACTGTATAAACTATATATTATACCTACATATTATGTTAGATTTTACAGAAATAATATGTTTGTACCCACTAAAAATTACCTATAATTTTTTTAATATGTTTGACCTTGAGATATATCAACCCGTTCTTGAATTTCTTTACTGACAATATTGAGTGAAAATAAAAACCGAGAAGGTCAAGATGTTTATTAAAATGTGCGCTTTTGTTTGAAATCGTTTCAAATATTTAAACTATTTTTTTTTATCAAAGGTTAATTTTTTTCGATGATATAGCATGTATGATTTTCTTACATTTTGTTTTAATAAAATTGGGAAATATGACTACTGTTGACCATTTAAAATATTTTGGATCCGATCAAACGGTGTACGATTTGGCGTGGTTTATATTTAGTGTATTTACACATTTGTTTATTTAAATGTGTTTTTCAATTGATATTTTTTTAACGCGTGGCAGCGCAATGAGTGACATTTTAAAATGTGTTTGGGTAAACATAATATTAATATAATTGTATATGTAAAAAAATATAATTGCAATATTATGTTGTTGTTTTTTTTTGTAATTTTTTTTTACCACGGCGTGTGATGAAGTAAGTATTCGGCAAAAGAAAATAGTTAAGACTATAATATATTATTAAAATTATATTTTTATCATCACTTAATTTATAAAGTCACGAGTCACGACTCACGAGTGGCGATAATACTAAAATATACATCAACTTGACGTTGCATTTTATACCGAACACATAAAAAACAACTAATAAGTAAAACAAAACAAAAAATAACCGAATATTACAATTCAAGTTGGCGTACAAAAAGTAGAAACGTATGTCGTCTATATTTTGTATACACTTACTTGACTGATATTCTTTGGATAAATATCTGTAGTCAGATCAAAAGCTAAGAATATATCATTAGCCCTTTCATCTAAAAGGGTTGGAAACTTTTTAATTTATTTACAATTTTTGACAAGTGTGGAATTGGTTTTTTTAACCTGGGAAGTCAAACTTTATATTTTTATTGATAAAAATCAAAAGTACTAGTATGGATATTCTAAGCACATAGTATTGCTTTTACTATTAAGGGAAACTACTTTACTAAATACTTAAATTTTTGAATTAAGAATAATTTGCTGAAAATGTTGACTAGTCGATAACCGGGTTGGATACTACTATCATACTTAAAATAAGTTATTATGTTTAAAATGGCTAGTTGATACATTTTTGTCAAATATTGCCTATCCTTTACCCTTTAATTTAATAGATTTCCGTTCCACTTAAATTAAATATTTATTGTTTTTTAATATTTTTATCATCTACGGTTGAAATGTTTTTTATTTAGCAAGGGATTTGTCGGGACATAATCAGTTGAAAGATCTGTGACCGCCTAAGTTAAACATTTGAGGATATTAACCCTTTGAAAACAATATAATTTTCTGTCAGACACACTTGGTGACAAACTGCCAAAAAAATTATTTTACACTTAAGTACAAACTCCGCTGGTGTGTGTAAATTCGTAATTCGAAGGTTGTTTATTTATATTTCTCTCTCGACTATGATCGACGATACTCTCATGTCATTTTGTTTTTCCCAGACATGATGGTTTTAATATAGTAATATGTAAATATACTTAACGTGGCGTATGACGTTAACATTATGTGCTTTGTCGTTGTTACCTATAGGTATATAATGTAAATCTTCAGTTAAACATAACTACAACGTTTATGTACTTTAATAACATGTCTATATTTACTTTGCAACTATACTAATTACAACAATTATTATACACCACATTACCAGTCGTCCGAGTATTTCTAGTTTTTTTTTTATATATTTCGGAGTTACTCATTAAGTCAATTTGAATTTAATTGTTTTTTAAGCTAACGTAAAGTAAGTGGTACCCAATTATTATAAAACTTGTCATCATACAAAAGAGACGGGGAAAAAAATACTAGCTTTAAGTTCTATCCCGCAATTATTGTTTAGCACATACCGTGAACCATTATAATATAATAATAGGTTTTAAAAACTATATATTATAAATTTTTGGATACCTGTATTTTTTTAAATTTTAGAATACAACTTAAAATTAGAAAATTTGTTTTTTGTTTCAACGATGCCGCAAATTTAATATTTAAAAGAAAAAACTTTATAGTTTTGTACCCACACTAAACGTACATCGTAAAGATAAAAGTTAAAAAAGTGTATGCCTTTTCCTTTAAAATAATAACGTTAAAAAAAATATCCATACTAACATAAAGTATTTGTCAACTTTAAAATACCTACCGCTCGCCATAACTTTCTCAAAATTAGTTTGATAAGTATTCCAGATTTTTCAAATGCTAGCTGTTAATTATGCGTAGTAATTTATAAACCATTGAATTTGCCCCCTTGAATTGTAAAACATTATTTCCCATATTTCCCACGCCATTTTTTGTAAACATGGAGTTAAAATTTGTTCCAAGTAAATGCTAATAATAATAGTAATGACAAAAAGTTAACACAGCTAACTTGTCCCTAATACAAATTACCAATATTGAACCACCCTTCCATTGCCCTTAATATTGTTTCTATTTATGCTCATACTTTATACCTAATGAGTAATTTGTGAAATAATATCATTGTATTCGTTTACTATTGCACGTACTCGTACACTAAATGTGAGTAAAAAATTCACCATCGAGAAAATTCTATATTTTAAAACATTTAAGGAACATTTTCGACATAACTCTAAAAGTAAGTGCGCCCGACATGATCTGCCTTCACCATAGGCTATTAAAGAAAAACCGACAAAGATAAATTTCATAAATCTCACTTGTTATATTATATTGTTATTTTAGTCATAAGTTGATATAAAAAACTTCAATATTATTTATATATATATCGATAAAGGGGGGGAGGGGCTTAGCTCTCACACCGATTTCTTCACTGTATCTATGAATCCGAAGAAGACACTGAGTTTTGGAATAATCATTAGTTAAAATGAGTTAAAATCAGTTAAAATCATTAGTGGGTCAATATTTTTGGCAAAACGCTTAGGCCAATGTAACCTTTTTTTTTTTTTAACGTCCCGGACTTTTTGGTAGGTTGCCCGTGTAATCAATAGATACAAAAACAGAGATCCAAACACAGAAAATATTTATGGCCCTGTCTATCAGGGGCGAATCTATAAATGAAAAAAAATTTACTTAAGCAATTCATAGAATAAATTACAACTTTTTCCCATAAAAACAGCTTTGCGCGAGGCCAGTATTTTACAGAAGATTATCCAAATGCTCACCGTGTATAGAGAAGATCATTCTATCTATGGGGTATCGTTTTTAATTTTTTTTTCGATATCTATACTTAAATTTTTTTTATAATAAAAATGAAAAAAAAATTAATCTTCACGAATGAATCATGTTGATTGTGCATGAGACATAAAGAAACTTAAAACGCTACCCCGAAGATAATGTTCTTCTCTGACCATTGTAAAAATTGTATACGGTTACTGTAAACACCGCCCTTACATTTTTGGTCACCTCAAAACCATTTTTCGCGGATTACAGGTGGGCAAGATCATGAGCGGATTGCAAAATTTGTGTACCAGGGTCTTAGACAACCACCCCCTTGCCACACGGCCAAGGATTTCAAACACAACAGCTGTATTATTACAATACTATAGAGCCCTCTTAAGGTTTGCTTTTCCTTGGACCCTGGTACAACGGCGAGTCATGACGCGAGTACGGCTGGTTAGCCGTCGAATAGCCTTGTTGAAAAACAGGGTCAAGTGTAGGCAATTTAGTTACATAAAACAATAATGTGCTTCGTTAAGGGAATTGTATGCGGTCTGTTTTTTTTTTAAGTTAAAGACCAAAAAGCCAGACAAAATTTCGACTACCTAGGATAGTCCTATTTAAACTCTGTAAAAAGATTCGAGTTCTTTGGCTACTTTAATATGTTATTCAGAAAGCCGATTTTTTGTTTTTTTTTATGTAAACAAATAAGGTATCAATATTGAAAAAAATAAAACTTACAAATTGAATTTATTTAATTACAAGAAACTGAAAATGTTCAAAAGAAAATTGGCTTCCTACATAACGTATTCTAGAATATGTGCTATAATCTATGCTATCTTAAATGGGGAAATCATGGGACCTACTTAAATCTTAATACTGGGCGTAGTCTTATCAAATTATAAAATAACACCTATTTAATATGTACAATTGTTTTTCCGATAGATTATTATTTTGGCGTTATGCTTTATTTATGACGGTACACGATTAAACTTACAAAATCACTATTCAAGTTTTTAATTAGTATAGAAATAATTCAAATTGCACAAAATGAGAGCTGAAGTACGTTCAGAATATTGTCTATGCATGTTTTATTCAAATATAATCTTGGAAGAGTAAATTTATACATTCCATGAAATTCGTTGTTATCTCCTGGCATTCGTTCGTCCGTTACAGAATGTGTTTGGAAAGAGAAAAGAAAAATACAATTCACAATTATTTATCTGACCCATGAAGTTATAATAATATTTTAGTTATTTGCTACTATCTACTTTTATGTTTTTTAATACCATTTACTTTAAATATTGTAATATATTTGTCGGTACTTTAGCCATTGGGTTTCACCTTTAGGGCATTCAGCCACATAAATAGGTACAGTAAGTAATGTTTTTTATTATCAATAATTATGCATTTAAATTTTTGTGTTTACAAACATCATAATAGTTGATTGTTTTATTTCCGATCAAATAATTATTTAGCAATCATATTCAATATTGGTTGATTTTTTTTTTTGTAAAAATGATATCGACTCTTACTTGTCGGCACACTATTTTAAACACCTAAATTTTCTGCACCCTCGTTTGGCGATATTGACAGTTGTTTTAATGTGGCCAAATTCAACACTGGCTTGTAGTCAAGACTTACGAATGTTCGTTTTAATAGAATGCTGAGATAAACACCATTATAGAAAAAAATTGATAAGGCCCGAGTCATGGCGAATGTTCTTGACTTTCTGATCGACCGTACACAGTTTTAAATTTAAATAACAAAGCCTATAGCTATTTTGAGTCGTATGGTGATATTATAGTATAATAGTGTTTGGATTAAAAAAATAATGTTGCGTTGAAAAATTATTTGCCTTTTGGCTTTATACTCAACGATGTTATCGTTTTAGAAAAATAACGGTTTATCAAACTATGTGTCTGTTTATTTTATTTTTAAAATAAAAATATTTTATAATAGTTATTTTGTGTGTTTTAGATTGTTTATACAACTAACGAGACATGGCAACTACGGAAAAGTTGATGTTGAATAAAATAGCTGTAAAAATGAAACGATTTAATATGAGCGAAATTCAACAGCTGTTAAAAATTTTGCATTTGAATCTGGAATGGAAAAATGTGGTTGAACTTGTGGAGAAATGTCGTATGCGTTTAAACGTAACAAATGTAGTAAATGTGATCTTTCAATACCTCAAGGACAAAGAATCCATCATGGAGGTTTACCATCGTGTATTACTGGTCGATGTGATTTATCATCAGAGTGGTTCTTGGTGGACTGTTACAATCGACAAAGTAAAACAGAATTTATTGGACAAGGAAAGAATCCGAAACAATATTCAAGCAATGTTGGACAAGTTGAATATCAATGCCATTACTTACGTTATGAAATTCAATCAATTTTTTTGGGTGTTAGTAGACAAAACCGAAATTAACAAGAAAACAAAATTGAAACTTAACGTGCCGAGTTTTTTTACAATACCTGCTAGCAATGTTTCTCACATTTTTCACAAACCTCGTAACATAGACGGCACTCTGTTGAAAATTGTCATTAAATCCGTTGGAGGGTCTCGGAGTAAGCCATATCCATTATCGGGAAAGAATTTGCTGTCTATGGTTAGTTTGTTGGAAGACAAAAACAAAGAAAACGAAGAAAATGACGTTCATAGAACAGCTCTGACGAACAATTATCGCGATGAAGATGTTAGAGAGTACATTGGTCAATTGTTTGGAACCAAAAAGCGTGTGTTGAATAGCTTTACGATTAACGTGGAGAGTGACCTATCGATGTTCGGAAACGGTAATTTACCTGGAAAAATGTGTAAAACTCGAATAGAACTGAAAGCCGACAATGTTATAGAGGGTGTCAAAGATATGATGTTATCGGGTGTGTTGCAGCCGCCTTATCCCGATTGGGTGACTAAGCTGCCAGTGTTGGGCAAGAACTGTGTAAACATTAACATGCGCCCTCAATAACGCATGTTTTCTTAGTTGTATATAAAATATAATTTTTTCATCTCTTTGCTCTTAAGTTTTCTGATGTACTATAATATTTGTAATTGTATGAAAACAATTTTTGTTCAGTGTTTTAAGTAATTGTTTTTTTTTTCTAATGCTCAGTATTTGTTTTTGTTATGTATGTTTATATATTTTATGAGTATATTTTTTGTATATTTTTTTATCAAATTATATTATTATATTATTTTAATGTAAACTTGGCTTTTATTAACCAAACTAACTTTGTAACGTTATTATAAAACAAATATGAATCTGGATTGTAATATATATTATTTTTAATTGTATAACTCGACAACGGTGTATAACATTTGTTAGGTTAATCCTAGTAATTGACTTTGTAATACTCTAAAATTACAAATGAATATTTATAATATTTTTGGAAGAACTTGTATTTATTCGTAATTTAACGCACTTTGTTATTAATTAGGTGTTCTTTTTGATTTAATATCTTATTTATACATAATGTAATACCGAATACCTACATATTTTTATTGGTTATTTATCAAAAACAATTTCCTTTCTTTTTCTACTCCAGTAAATAGTTTAAAAGAAAAAAATCCCCCTTGTGTTAAGTTAAAGTGACATTTAAATAAATAAAATGGTTAAAATAGTCTTAGATTAAGTCTTGAACTTTATTTTCGTATAACATTGTACCTGCTTTTATACTAACACTGTATAAAATGACACGAAAATCGCGTTGTGTGGTCGTGAATTTAAAATAAATTACTAAGGTAATACTAAATTAAGTATTAATATATTAATTATTGTTATTATATTTTAAGATCTAACGACAGAAACCAATTGTTATAAACACTAGTCTTAAACTTCGGTCCAATTTTCTGACCAGAATTTCAACAACATTCATTTTTTTTTATGTAGGTTTTTTAACAATTTTTTTTATAAAATATATATAATTATTAAAAAAAAACATAAAATGGCTATTACAAACTATTATTTGAGGCGTAAGCCGTAACATAGACATAATAATATTGTAATATAATATTATTTCACAACCACCACTTCCGAGTGATAAAAAAGGATAGGTACAGCGATTTAAATTTAAAAAAATAATGTATTAACAAAATATGAAAAATAATTTTTATAATTAATTATCATTGCTCAAATTTAGCTTACCACCTGTGTAAGGGCCATTAAAAAAAAATTTTAATACGTCAATTTAAAATTGCACATCCTATAAAATAAATAAGAAGGTAGGTTTAATCACAACGGTTTTGGAACAAGAACCAAAATACATGATGTTTTTGTTGGAATTTTCTTCGAAGATTCTTTTTTTTTTTTTACCAACTATAAAAACGACTTGCGAATTCATTTTTCATTTTTTACTCAAAAGAAAGTAAGAAAACTGACTTTATTGTTTACAATTTTGGAAGTGATGCCAAAAACAAATTAAGGTGCTAGTAAATTTCGAATTAAACGCAGAAGAAATATAATTATATTTATTCGTTCTCGTTCATAAAAAAGGTCTAATTTTGTTGTAAAGTGAAATTAATAACAGCGTCGCTATTCAAAAACGCTTTTCTGTGTCCAATTTAAAAAATATACATCATATTTTTTTAAAAATTTATCTATTTGTTGTTTTCTTAAAATCTTTTCATTTTTGAGGATCTTGTCTAAACGTTTTAGCTGGTCTAATTGTCTCTTAGATTTTTAAATATACTATCTAGATTCTAGGCAATTAATTAAAAAATTAAAATACAAACCACAATTATTATTGTTTGTAGATAAAAAATCTGATAATATTATCACAATTATTATCTTTGGGTCATAATACGATTGTCACGTGTTGACTGCATAGGTCTATTTGGTTGTCTGTTTCATTGTTGATAAGAAATTTTCAAAAATATTCACTGTTGTGACTTGTGAGTTGTGAGTTGTCTGTTCACAACTCTCAGTGCTTAAGCTGTAAGCATAGATTAAATATTATAATTTTTAATATTCGATGTATGATTTGAGAGTCAGACTGTTGTCAGTTTTCACTTGTCTGTTCATAATCTGTTTTAAAGAATATTCATTAAACACAATTAATTTTCAACAATCCCAAAATATACTTTGATTAACTCTACTTAACTTACCTAATATAAGTTTTGAGCCTCATTATGTTTGAATTTAATGACACTGATTTAATATTCGAAACGTCATGGTCGTCGTTGTCTGCTCAATCTCGGTTCGATGTGGAGTTGAAATCATCGTGGTCGGACAAAGAGCAATATGAATTGTTCCGATATAAATACCAAGTCGAACGCTTCGTCCGAATGCCCGGAAAGTTTGGTTTCCTAGCGGTCGTAAGTTTGTGAATTTACCGTGTAATAACTACGTTTTTGTTAGACAGCTTGACAATTTCTTTTTATCCCCAGTTGAACACTAACAGAGGAACCAAACGACGTGTACCAATACAATTTCATAGTGTTATGGAGCCATTCAACGATGAAGACTTTAATTTTACAAAAGTCGATAGCCGAGAGTTTTTGTTTGGATTAAGGTACAATAAGAACAGTGCGACTGATACAGATCGGGTCGCCAGTGATCAATCTTGTAGGTATATCTATTTTGATATTTTAGTATAATTAATTTGGAACAAATTTTTTCCATTTACCAAACTTTAGTAGTATTTTACTCAATATAGTTATTGTTTTGGTAATCGTGTTATTTTCCTTCGGTTTTTATTAATTAATAAAAAAAAAGTTAACTAGATAATATTAGTGAAAATGAAAATAGAAAAAAAAAATTATTGTAAAATAAATACTTTTTCAGTTTCGTATGAAGCTAAAACACATAAGTTTAGCATTAAAAACAATCACTGAAAAATTTGATAGTAATGGTAAATTTATAATATTTTACTTTAATTTATAATATATTTCAACCATAATTGATTTTGATTTATTAATTATAATGTATTACTATTAAAATTGATTTTTATAACACTACCTTTGACGAAAAATTATATAACATAGTGTAGCGCAACGGTTACTTTGGACGATACTCAGCACATGCGATTAAACTTTGTCTGATGCTGCTTAATCACAAACGTGTGACAACCCATCGTTTTAAATGGTGATCCACTTATAAACAACCGGTCTTTAGTTAACCCTAAACTGAAATATGTAAAATTAAAAGCTGCTGGCTTAGTTGATGATTATTTTCCATTTTGATTGACCTAAATATTGGTGGCTTAGTTACAGATGACGTTTTGGCGATAAACGCGAGTCCTTTGGGAGATTTTCATTCGTTGATTTTGCCGAAAATGTCAAGCAAATTACCGCAATCTATCAACGAACACAGTCTGCGCTTGGCACTTCAAATTATACTTCTAAGCGCATCACCGTAAGTTACTCAAAGTTGACGTCCAAAATGTCCAATAGTTTGGGTAGTAAAAATGTATTTGTGTTCTCTGAAATTTTCAGAGCTATACGTATCGGTTTTAATAGTTTATGTGCTTTTGCTTCAGTGAATCATCTTCATTTACACTTGTACTATTTACCTCATAAAATGTATCTTGAATCGTGTGTAAGTTTAAACAATTTTATTTTAACGTTAAAACAATACGGTTTACTGTTCGCATCTTCTCTTTCTAAGTCTATAAATTATAATCAACCTGCTGTTTGTAAATGTAATTTATTTGGAAACACTTAAGTATTCTTTATATAATAAGAAATTAAATAATTCTTATACAATTTTTTTATTAAAACACTTAAATTTAAGGGCAATTAATCGTTGTTTTAATGTTTCAATAAAAAAAAAAAAATAGTTTTTATATATTTATGTGTTATAGGATCTAGAACATTTGAGCGGACCTTGTTATAAAATTAAAGAATATCCAGCCAACGGCTTTGTTTTTATACTTCGTTGTGACGACAAACTGTCAAGTTTTGTTGAGTAAATTAATCTTTTTTTTTCAAAAATTTTAAGTTCGAATTATAAATAAAATGTTATTTTATTTCAGGAAGGTTTTTGTCCTAATTTATCATCTTCAAAATTATAACATTCCTCATAATATTTACATAACAAGAGGAATAGACCATAAAATCAGTAATATTGCAGACGACAAGAGAAATTGTATTCGAATTTATGTCTGGGCTAGAAATCCATCAGGTTATTACCATTTGTAGTTTAATTTAAAAAATGTCAATTTATAAATATGAATATTTTTAGGTTATAAAGAAATGGATAAATTTACGCCAGCCATCTGTGAATTATTTGGTCACTTGGTTATAAAAGGTGATTTATACAATTACATCAAAATTAAATATCTTTTTTAATTGTAATTATTACATTTTTTAGATCAAGCAGAGTTTGACAGTTTCACAGAAGAAAATATATCTAAAATTCTCAAAGATGTTACGCAGTCCACTTTTACGTCTATTCTAAACAATATAAAAACCTTGTACTTAAATTTATGAAGTAAGTTAATAAAACACTGATTTTTTGAATGATAATTACTTTTTTTTCTTTTAAATACCAAAATGTTTTATTTATTAACAATTAGCGAAAGTTAGTAAGATCAAAACATGCGTTTGAGTTGCATATTCTGTTTACTGTCAGTGTTGGGCAAAAGTTAAACCCAATAATTATTTAAACTGTTAGAATAATGCACAATGTTTATTGTTTTGTAACCATAGCAACCGTCAATGTAATATAGCAGCTTGTGTAGGCTCGGCAATATTATTTAGGCTCTATCGAAGCATGTGAATGAAAAAATAAAAATTACTGTAGTCTTAGATTTTATTATTACATTATAATTGTATTGTACTGTGTCGGGCAAGTGTAAAAATGGATCTGTACAGAGTGGACTACACTCTGCTAGGAATGGTGTCTTCTAATTGTGTGAAAGTGATACCGACCGCTCAAAACGATAAAACCGAGAATAAAACACAAAAAGTATTCTTTTCATTTATACTGCACTGGAATTGTTGTATGTATTATAATATGTGAGCTTTCTTGATGTGTAGATAATTGTTGGCGATCAAGAGGGAATATTGCAGTTGATTCAAATGCGTAAAGGAAAAGTACACATGTTGTTCAAAACGTTGCCTTTAGAGAAAATAACCCAAGTCTGTTTAGGTGGAGCTCTCGGTAACACTTAGAGTTTATTCTGTTATTATTAATATATTCCTCACAGCCTTTTGCCATGTTTACTAAAGGGACTGTGCAAGATAAAATATTTGTGTCGATGGGTTCGTCTGTTCGAGGGTATACAAAGAAAGGTCAGATGTTTCTGAGTTTCGACACTGGACTAACGGAACCTGTTAAATGCATGTACGCAAAATAAAAACAACACTTTTTTATGGGTATTTTTTGACTTCTTGATCACTTTAGGTACGTCACCGGAAATGAACTTTTAGTATCGGGCAGACACGTTTTTAATCATTTTAGCGATTGCAAAGACAACAGTACCTACTTGTGTCCAGAAACGATCAATAGTATAGTAGCGTTAGATGTAATAAAGGTATTATTTAAATATCACTTTATCGTAAGACGAGAAATGAATAATGATAGTGTAACCGGTGCTTTCAGATGCAAGGCGTAATGCCCATCTTGGCGTGTGCTGATCTATGCATTAGAATACTTGAAGGATCGGCGGTGAAAAAAAAATTTTATTTGCCGTCAGAGCCTACTTACTTACATTTGATGAACAACAATGGCGGATCGTATGGGAATGAAGTACTGGTCGGATTACAAAACGGTGTTATTGTATTGCTTAAAATCGAAAAGTAAACCAAAGCGTGTTTCTATTACAAATTGATTACAACGTACGTTATTGAGAATGACAACTCGTATTTAGAAATGCATCAGTCAACACTCTTTGGGAACTGAACAAGGAAACTAAACAAGGAACTGTGACTTGTATGGACTGTTACAATATTGACGGTGAAGATCATCTGTTAGTTGGCCGACAAAGCGGTTCTGTTGAAGTTTATTCGTTGGATTCAAACTCAGTGCCTATTGAAAAATACAAATATGTAAGACGAAATGATGTGCTAAGATCAATATAATGGAATATTCTGTTTTAGTGGTCAAAATAGGGTTTTATATATTTTAGTAACAACAGTATTTTTTCTTGTAATAGTAAAAGTTTTCAATGCGTGTGAAATATTAAAGAGTAATTTGCTAAATACTTTTTTTGTATAATTAAGAAGTTTTTTTACCATTGCCCATTATGTTATTTATAATGTACTTTAAAAATTGTTTCTTCTCAGATTTGTTCAGAAAGTGTAACATCCATTCAAGGTGGTTCCGTAAGAATTCATGGAGTTCCAGAAGTGGTTGTCTCAAGCTTTACAGGTTTGTTAAAAACGCCAATCAACGACTAACAATGTTTTGTTATCGTACAACTCAAATTATTTCCTTTTATAGACCTAACTATTTTATTAATAATTACTAAAAAAAAATTGCTGCAATAAATGCTTATTAAATTATTGCAAAAAAAAAAAACATTGCTTGATTTTTTTTTTTTTTTACAATAATTTTCTTAGGGAAGAAACTTGACAGTTCACATTTTTATGTGTATATATTTTTACAAGCAATAATTAAAACAAATACTGTTTTAGGTTGGTTATTTGGTTTGACATTTGTTGTCCAACATGTCGACAAAGAAGTTGTTTTAGAATCGTCAAATATAATATTAAACGACGACAAACAAAAAATCGCAGATATTAGGTGAGTAGAGTTAAGTGTATTCTTTAAGTTGCATGTGATTCTCATACATATATATATATAGTTCTCATGTGTATATATATATGTAGAGGAGGTCATTTTTTTTAAAAACTATTATCGGAACACCCCTTAAATTTGTTCATTACCTCAAAAACTGAAGTGTTCAAAATGTTGGAAAAATATTTCAACATTGAGCCTCAAGAGAGTTGAATTTTGAAAAAAGGGGTTTTTCCTATAAATCAGTGTTTTAAAGATCAATTTTATGGAAAAAAACATAAGACAATGAGTATGGATAACAGGGCCATACGCAGAAGAAAGTTTTGAGGGGTGTTTTATGTACCTGTATTAAAGTATAATATAACATTAAATGGAATAAGTAAATAACCATACAAAAAACCAAACATTTTGAACAACCAAAAGTTTTGGGTGTTCAAACATTTATTAAACATTTAGGCTAAAACATCCCCCTGAGTACGTGCCTGATGGATAGTATTGTTCTCTAGAAAAATTATATCTTGTAAGATTATTGGGTTATGAGTCGTGCACATAAATGCAAAAACTCTAAATTTTAAATTTTAATACTAAAAAATAAGGACCACCAATAGGGTGCTATTGTTAACCCATATAGATATTGTCAATATGCAGGTATGCACTACACATTTGGACATATAACTATTTTTATCGCAGTCAATGAACATAATAATTTGAAACGTTTGTTCCAGGACGGAAGTCAGCGATTTAGAACGTCTAGTCGCAATTGAGAGAGAGAAATATTTAGAATACACCCAAAAGAGTTCTAGGATTTCTGTTTTGCCACAATTAGCTGTCAAAAATACAGTTAAGAAAATCTATAAATGACATACAAACAAATTATATATTTTCATCAGCTGCAGTAGAATTTTTTATTTTCAATCGAATTCTATCAATTTTTTAGTCCAAACTCGATTATAATCTTATTGTAATTATTGTAGATGCTTTTGGATCCAGAAAATATAACGTATCATTTGATAATCGAATTGGAAGCCACTATTGACAATGTTTTATTACAATGTAACTGTTTGATACATTTGATCGACGTTGAAGCCAATAACACGGCCGTGGTGAGCAAAAGCAAATGCAATGAGCAGGTAAAGTAATAATATAATAATATATGGGACAAAAAAAAAATAAGATGGCTATATAATATTATATAGTTGATAATATTTGGTTTTTTTTTTAAATTGTTAGAAAAAACCTTCGACGCCTTTTATTAACCAACATTTGTCTTAATACATTTTTTAGGATGACAATAAGCTATTAATCACATACAGATGTCAGATGAACACTACCAAGTTGGAATTAAAAATGTGGTCCCACGAAGGCGATCATGGGATTCTGACCGTTTATATTACACCATTATTGCAACCTAAGAGCTGTCAAGTGTGTACATTTCCCATAAAACCGCTTTTGTACCATCAGAGAACTTACAAAGAAAACAAGTGAGTTGATATGGTTAACAAAAAAAAAAGTCCAGCACAGTTGGTAGAAAGATCACAGAAGTACCCCTAAAAATCAAACGAGGAAAAGTTTCGACTTTAAGAGTGTTAAAAGTGTGTCATCAACGTAAGCTGTGAATAATCTACTGAATATATTGACAGATAGATTTGAACATTTAAATATTGTAAAAAAACTAGCAAAAATATTTTAAAAAAAAAATTAATAGAACTAAATTACAGTTTATTAGTTCTAAACAAAAATTACACCAGTTTATGTATATTTAATATACATAACAAAAAATCAAACTTAAGTAGTCATCCCTACTATCAGAATCATTGTAATAATAACTGTATTCGTGTTTTTAGTTTTTTTTTCTTGAGTTTTTCATATTAAAAAGAAAAGTTTCACTACACATTTTTGATTAATTTTTCTACATGAAAGGATCACCACACTACATCTATCTTCAGTACAATTTACAGACCTCCAGTCTTAAGACTGCACCTTAAAAAAGGTAAACTAAAAACAAAAATGTTACCCCTTCTGGGAAAAAGGGATGGTGACTGGTGGTATTTTTCTGGTCTCATTGTGCTATATCTAAAGAATATCCCACACAAATTTGGAAGTAATTTGACTATTTTTTAAAAAGTTGGATTATGCTTTAATCAAGTTGAATAATGTGTACATTTTTAGGGAGTTTTCTCAGTTCTAGGGGAGGGGGGTGGAGGTCGAAGGGGTCAACTTTTGGACTTATATAGTTTTTTTTGGGAACGATTTATTTTTATACAGGGTGATCAATAAAACATCAGACACTCATTTTCTCTTAAAATAATTGCAATTTGGTAGATTTTATTTTTGGGGTCAATTTGTTTGTGTTTTTTTACAACTTAATAATTTTTAGACAATATTCAAATTTGTATCTTTTTTTTATTTTTTCCTAAAGCTCTATCAACTTACTAAAATTTAAATAACTTAATAAATTATTAGCCGTTCCAGCCGAAGACCAAGACAATGTTTTTTGTATTATATCATTATTGCCTTTTTTTAATTTCTAAAAATATTAACAATTTTTAACTCTTTACATTAATTTTTTTCTTCAAATATTTTGATGGTGGTTTTAGTATAATATCACTGTGATTCAAGTATTGTTTAATATTTTATTGATACCCATTCAACAATTCTGTACGTTGCTCGTTGAGTACTTAGACAGTATTATATTCTGTTTTTAGCTATCAACCTCATAGTTTTTTAACACTGACTGGTGGGTTCAGTCTTGCCGAAGCTCACGCGTGGATTTCAAATTGTTTTCCGGGCATACCAGATAAACCAGCTGCTCAAGAAAACGTAGAATACACATTTGTATCTTCGTTAATCGGTACAATTTTACATTGTACTTACAGGTACGCACATACGACTGCTCAACAAATATTGCTGTTCGAAACCCATCCAAATAAATACAATGCGTATCAACATGTGTAATGAACAAATCAACTATTAGACATAAGTAGGGCGGTCTAAAAAATGTTTTTCCACAGCCAATAATTTATAATATTTGAATTTTTTTTTTTTTAGATTTATTAAATTATTATAAATTGCCTTTTTTAATTTTTCAAGACGCTTTTCACATTGTTTTTTTACTTTCTGTATTCTAAATTTAAAACCGATTTCAGAATTATTTTATAAGTTGTATTTTATTTTTTAACGCAAAAGAAAATTAGATAAATATGATTTTTGTTTAATGAGTTGTTGACAATTTTGAAGCAATTTAAATGAAAAATTCACTTTCCAAAGAAAATCTTGAAATTTATTTGGATTCAGTGGAATAAATCCTATATTATGTAAGCCAAGAATGTAAAATGTATGCTTAGGTTTTTAAAAAAAAAATAGTTTTCAGATATTATATAGATAAGAATAATTGTGTTGTGTAACAAAATGTTGTATTTTTTTTTGAGGAGAACACAAATCAAATATAAACATTTTATGAGAGTGTTAATTGTTCTGTATTATTAGCCGAGGTTCGATAACCGTCAAGACAGATAACATAACGGCCATATCGATTCTCAAGGACAATTTCAGCAAAGAAGCGACCAGAAAAAATATCATACTAGACATGTCTTACGGTTAGTTAGGATGTCCACACAATATGATCACATAAATGGTTTTATTTGGTTTGGTTTTTTCCAGATATTTCTGAAATCAGTCTGACATCTGTAATGACCGCCATCGTATCTAAACTCAAAGTGGACACAGAAAACGACCATCGATTGAAACTAGTTAACGCCATGAAACAGTTGCCCGTCAATGCCAATTGCGGTGATGAAACATTATCGGAAAACTATTTGAAAATGATAGCCGACGAGGACAGATTAAAGCAAGAAGTGTCTAAACGACCGTGTCGTCTACAACGTTTACGGGGTAAAATAGAAAAAAAATGAATAGCTGGCACAAATTGTTAACTCATTATTTTTTTTTTCTCAGCACTAACTTTGTCATTGTTCGACGACTGGCACAAGTTAAAGGGATTAAACGTGAAATCCGATTCTAGAGCCAGCCTACAACACCTTTTACAGACTAGTAATGCATTGGATTCGGCAATTGATTTGTTTATTATTTGAGACGGTTTTCCATTATATGATATGTCAAATTATATATCAATACCATTAAAAAGTTTTTCTCGATAGTTTAAACTAAATTTAATATAATAATAAAATAACCTCAACCTTACCTGCAGAACGAATAATCAGTGGTTAACATTTGGGTTGGGACCCAAAAAACTTCCTGGCTATTCCATTTCCTAGAATCAATATTAATCTGTAGTCATCTGTAGTCAAGAGTCAAAAGCTTGTACGTACAAAAAATACAATTTTAAGGTTTTACATGTTATGGGTAGTTAAAGATGTACAAATACAGTATCTGTAGTTCTAATATCAATGAGATTTTCAAAAATGTATTAAAATAATCTGTGTAATTTTCTTTTTGGAAACATTATTGTTATTTAATATGTTATTTTTACAATATTATAAAATTACTACATATTAGGTACTACATTTACCTTTTTTTAGTATTTTCCAATATAAGTTAAGAATCATTTTCTGAATAATTAGACTGGTCGATAACCAGTTTTTGATAATTACTGAAGAAGTTTAACTTAAATATTAAAAGTTAAAATTTAGACGGGAGGAAGGGTCGAGTGAAATGTTATTTCTGCCGGCACTACTCTACCACACTACACTTAAGTAAAAATACTGAGCTGTAGAAAATAATAGAAAAGCCAAAAGGTAAATGTTTTCAAAAAGAAAAATAGTTATTACTTTTCGAGAAAATGAGTGTCTTATTGATCACCCTGTATAGAAAAATAGCTCTTTAACTTTCATAACAAAATCTAATACAACGCAGTTGATTGCGTCAGACTATCACAGACTGCATAATTTTCAGTCCGTGATGGCTATAGACCAAAACATTTTGTTAGGTAATATAGTAACAACATTTATACTTTAATAGTAATGCCTTGATAAAGTAAACATAAAACTTATACGTGAATTAGTTTTAGACCCTTAAATGTTATCCTTATTAGTATTATCTTAAATCATTAAACTTTTTCATTTCTAATCTTGCTGAATACTAGTTTTTACAATTTACCATTAGCACATAACCATTTAACCAGCAAATAACAATATAATTAATAAATAATACTGGTCGATAACTCTCTTGAAAACTCTCTAGACAACTACTCTTGTATAAATATAGTGTGCCAAACATTAAAAACAAAACAATATACAATATTAGTGTTATTTTTATAAAAAATTAAGTAGGTATACTAATTAAATAAAAATTATTTTGAAAAAGAAATGTATTATTTTTGTAATATATATTATTTTTACGCATATTACAATTATAAATTGCAAATAAATGCAAATTGTTAAATATTGTTCTATGCAATTTGTGGCCTCGGGGCAGCTACAAGTTACCATATCCGGTCATGAATAGTTTTACAAAATAATTTTTTATATTAAATGAATATTTAATATAAAATGATTATGTAATTGTATTTAATGAAAAACCTTTTGAAAATATTAGTTGGTTTTATCATTGTTTTTACTTTTCTGTTGTTATGTATTGAAATAAGAAAAAACATAATTTGATATAGTGCTGTTTTGTTAATTATATGAAGGGCACAGGGGAAAAACGGTAGTTGTCACATTATGAAAAAATGTTTTTCCAATTAGTTTTTTTCAATTTATGCCAATCATTTTTTTTATTCATGTCAATAGATTGTTTAAATAAATACATTTATTGTTAGAGTAGCATGTAATGTGATTTTTTTTGTTCTTATGTAAGAGGTAGAAGAATTCACGAACTTTGTTTTTGCTATACTCTAAAATGTTCATATTGTGACAACTACCGTTTTTCCCATGTGCCCTTCATATGCTTGTTCTAACAGTTGTCTGTTAAGCATACGCCAATGTACTAAATACGAATTTTATACAAAACGAAAACAACGTCTTCTTAACATCGACTAGTTATATTATTTTAAGTGTCTAAAATTTACAAAAAAAAAAAAACCTTAATAATTTCTGTTGTTAACTATAGTTTTAAAGATTTTCCTCCAGCCTATTTCTCAAAATGCTTATAACTCCATACATTTTTTTTTCAAAACTTTATATCGACCAGGCATTTTTTTTTTTACTGGATATTCATGATAATATACCTAATGAATACTTGAAAAAAGATAATGTGTTAGGTTTTATTTTACATTCAGAATTTCCGTTGGTAATAGTTTTTGTAGTGCGTTCTGCTGACCTTAAATTCGTATTTATGTGAAATAACATTCGAGTAGGTAATACAAATACTTAACAACAATGGTCTGTGTACCCAGATTTTTTTAATTATGAAATGCGTTAGTGTATAAAAGACCTTGAAGTACTGTGTGTGAAAACACACAATTATTTATCTTTGTTTTTAGCTTTTAATTTTTCTTAGTTTCGTATCGTTGTGAATAACATAATATGAATAAAAGCCCACACAAAAAAAGTTCTCTAAATCAATACACAACCACATAAACAATTGTACAAATTTGGAATTTAGTTGAATGCGTTGAAAAACAATTTGAAATCAACGTACTTTTCAATATTTTTTATTTTCGAATTGTTCTTATATAAATCGTATTCAAGCCAATCCAATTACAATGTGGTTGGCCAGTCAGGATATTTTTCCTACAACTGTCTGCTCTCTCACTATGTATATAATGTAATATATTCTACACTATTCGATTTGCTCACTACACATTAGAACTCCATTTAGGTTATGACACCTCTAATACTAAATCTCCGTATAATGATATAATAATTATTAAGATGACTTAGGATTTATATCTATTAAAAATTTAAAAAACAATGACCCTGTCATCAGCATTTGCATGGACATTTATTAAAAGTAGAAAAATAAGGGGTGGAATCAGAAATAGAAATTAATAAACTAGATAAAAAGTACATATAATATTATAAATTTGACCATAAAATGTGTTGTGTAGAATATATTATGTGAAGTATATACCGGCGGTTCTCTCGTTAGGTTATGTAACCTCTAACATTAGTACAATTGTATTTTTAATAATATAAAAAAAAATGTATCTAGCAAAACTATTGTGTTGTGAGTTATTTTGCACATATGTAAATACAAAAATTCTTAAGTTAAAAAAAATTAAATACTACAAAATAAGGGACACACGACAAAGACGGGATACACGTTTCGACATATAACTATTATTACCACAGTCGACACACATACTAATTTGAAACGTTTATTCCAGAACGGAAGGAAGTCAGCGATTTAGAACGACTTGTCGCAATTGAGAGAGAGGAATAATATTTAGAGTACACACAAAAGATTTCTAGGATTTCCGTTTTGCCACAATTAATTGTCAAAAAAAAAAAAGTATAAAATTGACATAAGACATTCGAACAATTTATGTATTTTCAAAAGCTACAACTGAATTTTTTTAAATGCAGGTGCATTTTTAACTTATTTTCTTTTTAAGACATTTTCTAAAAATAAATTGTGTTAACTAATACAAATAAATATACTTATATACATAGTTCAAACATCGGCATCGTTAAACAAATTGTTTTATATGTGTCAAAAACTCGTATATTTTTTTTTTAAATTAAGGGACCCAACTTATTACATTACCAGATCTGCATTTTTTATTTATAGAAAATCCGGTGTCAACTTATTCTTAGTACTGTATTGAAGCTAAAATAACTTTACATATTACACTGAAACATGATCGCAGATGACAAGATTGTTGCCGAAATACGTATACGTTAGCGGCTAGAATGTATTGATTTTTGTTGCTTAAAGTTTTTTCTAGATTACCATAAATTTAGTTTTGTTGCTAAATTCTATTGTTTATCGTTAACCTCGTTTCTCACTCAATACAACCACTGAGATAATTCATATTTTGTGCAAAGCAACCGACCAGCAGAAAATAAATATATATTTTTTCTTAACATACAGAATACAATGCAACTATCATTTTTACAGAAAATTAATTACGGCAGTTTAATATATTACTTACTAGTTACGACGATAGTTACATATTAATGTATATAAACAAATTATACATTTTTATTAGATTTTATGTACGTATAAACTACAAAAACTTATACATTTTCTCTTAAAATAATTACAATTTTTCAATTCGCTCAATCCCGTTTATGATTTGGTAATTTTATTTATGAAAGGAGTTAATATTTATAGTAACTCATTTGTTCACGAAAAGGGTCAAATTCATTCAATTAAAAATCTTACTGTATACTAATTCCTGTAAACCAGCGGCCTCTCTGTCCCCACTATGCCTTAACCCCACAGCTCACTATTCTCCGACCCCGCTCTACTGGCTTTTATACCTTGGAAATTTAATTGATTATGAAGTATTTTTATAGCAATCGGTGACCAAAGTAAATATACTATGAAATATGAACATTTAATATAATACAATTCAAGTTTTTATCTTTTTTAATATTTTTCAGAGTTCTATCATTTATTGAAACTTCAATGGTAACGTAAATATTTAAATTTCTAAATTAATAATAATTTGCTAAACATTTCCAGTGGTCGATAACTAGTTTTGGATAATTTTCAGCTATTTAAGCTTAAAATTTTGAACAGGAGGATAGTCGATGTATTGTATTATTTTTATATGCGTGCATTACTCTACCGCACTCCACCTCCCGTCCTAAATTTAAAAGTTATTATCAAAAACTGGCTGTCAACTAGTAAAAATGTTTAGCAAACCATTCTTAGTTTAAAAAGTTGAATAAATATACATGTTACCATTTAAGTTGATAGAGCTCTGAATAATGCTATAAAAGGTAAATATTTAGTAATTTTATAATATTGTCAAATAACATGTTTTCAAAAAGAAAAATTTAATTGCACTCAAAGAAAATAATTGCAATTATTTTAAGAAAAAATGAGTGTTTGTAATTTAGCACGATGTTGTTGAATAAAGTAATGATCGTAGCAAATAGTATTAAGTAATATTAACGTTATTGGAACAAAATTAAATAATATTATAATTAATTAACAACAATTTTGGTAATTTATACCTACATACTATCTAATACAAATATTTACTTTTTCATATACATTTATTGTGTAATTATCGTCTTAACTAGTAATATATTAGACTCGCGCATTTAATTTTCTGTAAAAAAGATTGTTGCATTGTATTAAAAATTAATTATATTCTGCTGAACGGTATACTTTGCACATGTGAATAATAACAATGGTTGAATTAAGGAGGAAATAAGGATAACTATAAACTGTAGAGTGTAGCAGCAAAACAATTGGAATGGTAGATTTATTAAAATGTTCATAACATTTAGTTCTTACGTTATTCAGTATAAATTGTAATATTAACAATAAACATTCTGTTCTATCTTTTTGACAAAATCTCAATAGTAAGTGAAGAGTGAAAGTGTCAAACGTTCCAAGTGCCAAAGTATAAAAATTGAACTTTATAACTTGATTTGTATTTTATTCATTACCGGAAACGCTTAAACTTATTTTTGAGTTTTAAATATGATTTTTTTTTTTTATAAATAACTATTCTTTACTTGAAAAATTTACAAAATTGTTTCCGGTAATGAATAAAATACAAATCAAATTATAAAGTACAATTTTTATACTTTGGCACTTGGAACGTTTGACACTTTCACTCTTCAAGTGTTCTTACCTATTTTGGGTAATAGTTGATCAAATGGTAGTTTTTAATGAATACATATTTTTTTATTACTAGCTTTCAGATTTGCATTTATAGATAAAAATGAATATCAATTTGACCCTTTACGGAATAATAATACTAGTGGCAATTTCATTGAAGTTAATCTTAAGAAAAATTAAAAATCGAAGAAAAATTGCATTGGCCAATCGAATACCGGGGCCTCGTGGATTATCGTCCATAGTTGAGTTGTTGTCATTTAGCATTCAAGGGCCTAACAAATTTTTGGAAAACCTTCTTAATTTGCACAAAAAGTATGTAATTATAAAATAATTTACTATGGTCATGTTTCAGTGAAATATGTAAAGTAATTTTAGCTTCAAAACAGTACTAAGAATGAATTGAGACAGGATTTTCTATAAATAAAAAATGCAGATCTGGTGATGTAATAAATTGGAACCCGTATTAAAAATATATATATATATATAAATGCATTTTTGACAAATATAAAACAATTCGTTTAACGATGCCTAATATTATAGTAGCAATACATATTCATAGATTACATAATACAGACTTGTAAAGTCCAAAAGAATTCAACGATAGGACTCACTAACACTTAGGTTTAAAAAAACATTAATTTGTTGTAGATATGGAAAATCTCTATTTAAAGTATGGATTTTAGACGACCTAATTGTTAGCGTCACCAAACCCGAGGAAATAGGGCAAGTGCTTACTAATACAAAGCTGTTTAAAAGGTCAAAACACTATTCAGTTTTTCACGAATCTTTTTCGATCGGTAAAGGTATATTTTTTACTGATAATTTCGACGAATGGAAACATAACAGGTGTGTACAACATTGTTTACTTATACTTTGAAGTTATGATTTATAATGTCATAATGATAAGTTTTGAATATAATGTTTTTAGAAAGCTAGTATCGGAAGGATTAAAATTTTCAACTCTTAAATCGTACATGCCAATTTTTTACGAAGAAGCAAACGCTCTTGGTAAAGTATTGTATGAGCAACGTGACCAAATATCTCACGAGTGTGAAATAAGTAAAGCAGTTAGCAGGGCAACAATGGAAATTATTGGAAGAACTACTCTAGGCATACAATTTGGTGGTCAGAAAAATTCTAAAAACCACCTTTTAGAAAATATAGAATTCCTACAAGAGGTAAGTTTGAATATTATATTTTTACAAGACTATATAAAATTTAAGTAGTTACGTATTAGAGGTATATTAGATTAGCTAGTATATATTGTATAATATAATAATGTATAACAGTTAAGTACCGACGTATAGCATGTTTCGTTAAAAATAAGACTCAGAGAATCTATCAGAAATATATGACTATGGAATTTATTCTGTATCTTAAGTTTTAAAAGGTTGATAGAGTTCTGGAATATAGCAAAACATTTTTAAAAAATCAATATTGTCTAACATTCTAAATTAACACAAACTTAAATGTACTCAAAAAGAAAAATTATAAAATTGTAATTAGTTCAAGAGATAATAAGTGTTTTATCTCTGATCCATACCTAACCATGTATTAGAGATAAGACGTATCCTCTTTCTATTTTAACTCCAAAGATAAACCAGGTTGTTTCTTACCTGTCTATCCCTTTAAGCGCAAGATCTCTAATTTAGAAATACTTGTCTTCATCGCTTAAGTTTAATGGCCTATTATAACCAAATGTTAAAACATGTCACGAACGTTTGAGATTCAGGATTCTCGAAATACCAATCTTGAGAAAATTGCATCTATCGTCATTCCATAGCTAGTAGTAGATGCCTTTTTTATACTAAACTTTTAAAATATTACTTTTAAATATTATAACAACCGAGATTTTGTGGTAAAAAATTATTGATATTATTATACGTGAAATAATATTTTGGATAATAAAATAAACAATAAACTAACCTTGGCTTGAATCACATAGACATGTGTTGTCATCCTGAGTTTTTTTTTTTGCAAGGCTCAGTGCAATGTAACTCATATTTAAGATAAATTATAATATAGCGTACTTCTTTTACTAATGGCTAAGCCTTGTCGTAGCGAAAAATAGACTTCGACTCTTCTCTGTTGAATGCCAGGGTCTTTATATGAAAATACCCGTTGCATCCAATCATTTCAATAATTTCTCCTACGGATGTCTTTATGTTTTTAGTCTTGCTCTTTCTTTGCGTCTATTGATTATGCCTTCCATTTAAATTAATTTTATAACCATTGTAGGTTTGGGAACACAGAATTGCATATCCGTGGTTATTGAAACCAATTTTGTTTCGGCTGTCATCGTTAAAACGTGCACACGACGAGAGCCAAAGTTCATTATTCAAATGGTTAGACGATTATGTTTACAAAAAAATAGCGAATTCGAAAAATATTGACCCAGTGGAACATGACAAAGAGCACAAAGCTGAGGAACCTAAAACACTTATTGACATTTTGCTTGACAACAATCCACCGATGTCGTTCAATCAGCTACGTTCAGAATTAGCAACGGTTATAGTTGGTACGTCATTTAAACTCTTTCACTGTACATTTAAATGCCTGGGTACAGGAAGTATATAAATATTATAAAAAAAAATTTTTTACAAAAATTATAACCACTTGGTGGCTTCATTTTGTGAAAATAACAAAGTCCGTTTTGTACGTGCATTCTTTCATTCCTATTGGCCAACATAGTATATCAATACTTGAAAAAAATATCAGACACATTTTATTATTTTTGTCTGTTTAGAATAAATTTTGTTGCATTAAATAACTTTTGTTCTTCTTCAATAGTAATTCATATTTATAGCAAAAAAGGTTTTCCTAAATCAACTCAAATATTTCATTATGCCGCTACTCGTTCAGTAAGTATGAGACCATAAGCGAAGGTATAAGCATAGCATTTCAAATATATTTACTCAAGAATTGTATTATTCAAACCTTTACCGATTATTTTTTTTTATCAGAAATTGGTCTTTATAGTACTATATTTCCCCAAAAAGTGAATTTTTCAAGTCAATAGTCATTCGTTCTTACTTCTTCAACTTACAATTATTTTTAGATACTTAATATTATATACATATATATTTTATCTTCTACAATTATATATTTTATACATAATATTTTATTTATATGTTACATACATAAATTGCGTGCATTGTATTTAAGGCGGTCAAGACACTACTGCTATAGCAAACGCGTGCATCATATTCATGTTGGCTCATCATCAAGACGTACAAAATAAAGTAATAATTATACTTTATTAGTTATTCAGTAGATTTGTTTTCGTTTGCACAATAATATGCCTTCTGATACCTTTTCACAACAGGTTTTCCACGAACAAAGATCATTTTATTATTAATATATATATCGTATTGTTTACTAAAAATCAATAATATTATTTTCATCAAATACTTTTTTTTTTCCATTAAAAAAATAAAAGGTTTACCAAGAAATGAGTAGAATATTTTCGTCTGACGATACAAACCGATCGCCGACTTATGGGGATTTGCAGCAAATGGGCTACTTGGAGTGCGTGATCAAGGAAACGCTGCGACTTTACTCACCTGGGCCAATACACGCCAAACACGTCGACGAGGAGGTTACAATAGGAGACACTTTAATCCCTGCCGGTAAAATAAACATGCCGTTTTCAAACGAAAATCTTTACATATGCTTTATTCTATTTAGTTGTTAATCTAACGATGACTCTCTTGATTTTTTGCTTTGATCAAGATTCGACTATACTGATCGTTATTCGTCATGTACACTTGAACCCCGAACTCTATCCGGAACCCGAAACGTTCAACCCGGACAACTTCCTGCCGGAAGCATGTCAAAAACGGCCGCCTTATTCGTTTATTCCGTTCAGTGCCGGTTTCAGAAACTGCATAGGAATAAAGTACGCGATGCTTGAACTGAAAATCGTCATATCCACGTTGGTAAGGTCTTATAAATTTTCACCGGCAGACAAGTGTCCTACGCCACAGAACCTCCGCCTAAAGTGTTTAGGTACGTTGAAATTTGTCGACGGATGTTACGTTAAAATAGAATCAAGAACGTAATTTCAAGTATGAAAAATTACAATTTTCTATTTATATATGTATAATGTATACATAAATAAACAATGCATAGTGTTTATTAGTTTATAGTCGATACAAGTAATATTATAAAAGTTAAATATTGTTTTATTTGTTAAATTAATCACCATTACAACTTAATAATTTTTTTTGGTTTGAGATTTTTTTTTTAAATATCGTATATGTTTGAGTAAAACAAACATTTCTTATTGATTTTTTTAAAAATGTATTTATAAGTTATTAGTTTGTCCGTGGTGAAGGAAGTTAGGTGTTTGTGGAGCCAATGATATAAAACAAATTTATTTTTTATATATATGTAGCAATGTTTTTTCCAAGCACTGGTTTGTAGATTATTGTTTTATTATTTAATCACTGTTACCTAATAACTATATAAAATAATAAAGAAATATTTGAAAATGGACTTACCCACTCATTTATTAAGAAATAAATTACAGGCAAATTTCTTCAAAATACTAATTTAGAATTTAATATCTTGTACATAGAAGTTAGTACTATAACTATAGTACTTATCAATGCTTATTATGAGCATTCTTATTGGTTAGGTCTATCACAATTATTTCTATAGAACATGTAACAATGTAGAATTAAAACTAAAATGTCTTGAAATTGCTGTAACCAAATTTAGTTGTGCTTAAGCGTTTTTGTACAGGATGATTTTTTCATCGTGAGTCAATCAATATCTCAACGGATTAAATTAATAATTTAATTTTTTTTTATTGTGTTTTTATATAATGTGAGCTCAATTTTTCACAAATTCTTACATCCCTTAGAAAATAATTATTTTTATATCAACTTTTAAAACTTAAATGATAACGCATACATTTCATTATCTTTTTGTATTGAGAATACTGTACTAAAAATGTTAACTTGTCGATAACCAGTTTTGGATAACTATTTTTGAAGTTTCAAGTTTAGGACAGAAGAAAAGTTGGAGTGTAGTATTATTTTTATCCCTCCCGTCCAAATTTTAAACTCTTATAACTTATTTGTATTTGTTATTATATTTGTTCAAAACTGGTTGTTAACCAGTCAACATTTTGTGGGCTATTCTAGGACACTTCTGAGCTCACTATAACATTCTGGCTTCACCTGAAGTCACCCGATATTTTTATATTGATATTATTGGAAGTTCTTTCCAAACGACGGTCTATACTCTATAATAACGGGTTAGCAATCGTCCAATAACGATTCAGGAAAGATGTAGAAAAAAAAATGAAAAAAAATACTGAGACAAAGGCTTCACTTTATTTTCGAATCGATCAAAACAAAATATGTAGTTATATTAAGGAGAGAACTATGATAAACAATATATTTTAGTAAATTACATTTTTCTTAATTATTTTCATATTTTTTCCAGCTTTCGCTTTTCTTCAATCTATAGAAAGTTACAACACGGTGATTTAGCTGTTTTTTCGATCGGAGCTTTTTTAATGGGTATGCCTTTGTGTGCATCCGAAGTTTCTCCTTCAGCCCATTCGAGAACTGTTAACCCAATAATTAACAAATTAGTCTAATTAAAAATCATGTTGGGTTCTATCACTGGAAGCCTCCCTCCTTATACAACATCACCGTTTTTTATTTTATATTATTTTTTTTTGTCTGTACATATAACAATATTGTAACTATTTACTTATTATGCCTTGCAGCATAGATTGTAAATATTCTTTAATAAATAAAAAATAAAAAACTATAAATGCTTATTAAAAAAAAAAGTCGAATTAGTTAACAAAGTAATGACGGTCATAAGAATTTTGGTTGCTACGTTGTCACATAACAAACTGTTTTGTGTGAATGAATCAACAGATAAAATCAGAAAAATATGTTCAATTACCTGGCATGTCTTCGTTAACGTTCTGACTGCTATCTTTAACTATAAATATATATAAAAAAATAACCATCAATGTTTATAAAAAAAAGTCGAATTAGTTAACAAAGTAATAAAGGTCATAAGAATTTTGGCTGTTATGTTGTCACATAACAAACTGTTTTGTGTGAATGAATCAACAGGTAAAATCAGAAAAATATGTTCATTACCAGGCGTGCCGTCTTTGTTAACCTTCTTACGTCTATTTCTAACTATAAATATATATAAAAAAAATAACCATAAATGTTTATAAAAAAAAAAAAGGCTAATTAGTTAACAGAGTAATGAAGGTCATAAGAATTTTGGCTGTTATGTTGTCACATAAAAAATTGTTTTGTGTGAATGAAACAACAGGTAAAATCAGAAAAAATATGTTCATTACCAGGCGTGACGTCTTCGTTAACGTTCTCATTTTCAACTATAAATATACATAAAAAAAATCGAATTACTTAACAATTTGTATGTAATATTTTTTTAAGTAATATAGTACTATCGATGTATTGAAATTTTAATATTGGCAACGATATAAATTATACATCAACTTACCAACTCTATAAGCGGAACGAGGTCCTTTTCTGAATTTTCCATATTTTGGGTATGAACCATCTTCATCGCGGACTAGGTGATATTTTGGCTCATTCGCGCCCGGTAGAGTATCCTCCACATCTTCTGAAGACAATGTATCTTCTGAAGTATCACCATCATTATCTAATCTCAGTGACACACCTCCTGTGAGGTCATCTCCTGGCAATTTCATTTGATTTTTGGGTTGTTTTTTTTTTTTATCATCTAAAATGTTAATACAATTATATATTTTGAAATGATGTTAACATGAAACACACCTCAGTCAATATGAAAAAATAACGGTTTAAATAAAATAATTTTAGCGCCGATGCGGATCTGAGAATGAATGTATTGGTTTAAGAACGTTTTGTTTTGATTTTATTTTGGTTTTTTTGAGGTTGCTTAGAAGTTTTTGATATTCCTTTACCGTGTTGATAATATTCACTCCAATCATAATTTATATTAAGTGTATTGCTGCCTGTTGAGAGTTTAATTCCATCGGACACATCCATATCTAAAATGTCAATAACATATATATATAAAATTACGTCAACAGATAACGTCCCTCAACTATTATAATAAAAAACAATAGTTTAATCAGAAAATGTTTAGCAATTGATACGCAGCTGAGAAATATTGGTTTTATTTTATTTTGTTGTGGTTTTTGCTTTGATGGTTGATTTTTTGTAAGCGTTAAAAATACATGATTGTTAAATCAAATAACATGTTACTTTTAAACATTTGTAAGGTAAAGCCTATAGGTATGTTTCAAATAACAAACTAGTTGAGCATTTTGTAGTATATTAAAATAATTATCTGGTATACATTTTTTTTGTTTTTAAATATTATTTAATTACAATTTTCGTTGTAAGATTCGCCATCGCCACTACACCTGAAAGGTAAATGTAAAAGTAATTTTTCAATGTATTTGTAACACAAAAAACCCCATGGCTTGATTTTATGTTTTGTACAAAATATGAACCAGAAATAATGTGTAAAAAAATACTCACAGAGCATACGTTGCTAGACCCAGCAAAAGAAGAATCTTAACATTCATCATATTACCAGTGTTATACTATATCACATAGGTAAAATGTTCAACTGTTTTGATATACTATTTAAATGTACTGATGTAACATACTATGTGTTCTCGGTACTTATAGGACAGCAGTTGACAGTCGACAGTTTATATTGACTACAGTATTTTTTTTTTTTTTTGCTATACAGCTGCGATGGTTGACGATACACAAATAAAAAAATAATACGTCTTTTGTGAAAATATATGTAATGGGCAAATTGTGAAATTTAGCAGCTACATTTTTTTTTCCATAAAATTTACTTTTAGTTAGAATACCAGGCGTATTGCTATATTTTTTATCTATAAAATTGTCTACCCCCACGAGTCGTCACCCAACCAACGAATTTCATCAATTTTTTGGTTAAAAAAATATAATACTGCGTAGCTGTATGTTATTTTTTTATGGTCAAGCATGACAAATCAAGACTGCCTCATTTCGATTTGAGGCGTTTAAACTTTTAACATAAATAATAACTCTTAACCGGATGACTTCTGTGGAAAAATTATAAACTGCCACATTTCTCATAATGGCGTATAAAATGTTTGACTTGAAATGGTAAACTGCCACAAAAATAAAATGTGATAGTTTGGTTTATTTTTAAAAATCCTAATGCCAGGTATAACCTCAAAGTTTGGTTTTTGGTTGAGATTTCATAGAGTAGCTTAAAATTTAAATAACAAGCATCGGGTAACAAAAAATAATTGCAAAGTATTAAAATTTAAGCTTTAAAAGTTCAAACTCGCTAATTATTTTTATCACAGTCGCTGCTGTTTAAACACGTTCCTTAAACACTAGCGACATTTTAAAATTAATAGTATTTGAAACCTATAGAAATTCATTTAATTTTCTTCCAACCGGATATTAGTTTCTGGGCAACTCTTTAGCTCTTGTAGATCTTTTTGGTAATATGCAGCATAGTCTTTGATCGACTTGCTTGTTAAACCGGCCTTTAAACGGCTTATGGAGCTTTCTTAGCCCTTCTCAATGGAAACTTGACTGAATGCGATCACCATACTGATAATATACAAGTAGATATGCATAGAGAAAATATGCAAAGAGAAAAAAAGTGCATTATGTGAAAAAAAAAATAATCAATAACTTTTAATTCGAGTTGAAATTCTGCATACACACCGAGGTGAGATTAAAAGAAATAGAGAATTTACGGCGACGGCCTCTGTATACATCTGATAAGAATTAAGAACATCCAAGGAATAGAATAATTGACGCTCTTGGAATTGCTTTATTTTGAAGGGGGTTGATGTGGATGCTTTTGAAATGAGTCAGCGCCGGATTATAAGTTAATTTCTTTTACCTTGCCCCAGGTGTAGGAGAAATATTTATTTAATATAACAGTGATAATACTTTGTAAGCTAATTCCAAAAACAACTTAAATCGACTTGGCCTTATGACGTCTAAAACAAAAAAAAAACTGTAAATATTTTACAAGGCTTTATCATAGATTGCATTATTTTCAGTCCACGATGGCTGTAAACCAAAACACCAGTTATGAATTTAAATTATATCTTGTTGAGAAATTAATTAATGGATTTATGAAATTTCCAACAAAAAGAATATTTGTGTGCTTTTTTATAAAAGTTATTTTATCTAAATCCATCACGAAAACATACATTTTCTTAATTTAAATTTATATTGTGCTAGTTAAGGGAATGGCAAGCGGTCTGTTTTTTTTTACGTTTTAAACCAAAAAGCCATACTACATTTCGACTACTTAGAATGGTCCGATTTCAGTTCTGTAAGAACAAACGAGTTCTTTGGCAACTTTACTAGGTTATATGAAAGAAACAAACTTTTGATTTTTTGCCATAATTTATTTAATAACAAGAAACTGAAATTTTTAAATGAAAATCGGCTTCCTAAAATAACTAAAAAAAACTTGAATTACTTTACAGAGTTGAAATTTGACCATCCTAAGTAGTCGACATTTTGGTCTAAAAAAAAGCAAAATAGCTTAGACTCGTAGAAGAAATACAAATTAACCATAATTATAACTATAAATATATAATTAAAAAATATCAAGTGGCTTAGTAAAATTTGAGCTGTATCGAAGTAAAATTATAATGACCTGTTGATTTCACTTTACAAATACATTCACTGTTTGGACCATAAAAAATAAACGTATTATGTTATTTCTACTATAGTAGGTTATGTTGTTTCAAATTGAACGGAGAATATTCTAAGATTTTTTTTAATAAAAAAAAATTAAGGTGAGTTCTAGTGTTTTTTTTCTTCAAATTAAATTATTATTTAATTTAAATACTTTAACTACGGGATTAGCAGACGCTACCACATTATTTCGTTATATTTAGCAGAATTATGCCCGGTTGCACCAAACTTGTCGTTATCTATTGGTAAATTATTTACGACCACAATAAATTAACTTTTGTTAAACTTTATCTTTTGTTAAATTTACGAGTGTTGCTCAATCGTTGTTTTATTGCCAGATTATTACCAGTGTACTGGTTATAGAATAAACGGTATCAGCAGTAGGAGTTAATATTATTATCATACAGGGTCTTATCAATGATAAATGTTGTTATCAATGATAAAACATTGATAACACAATTTAATTTAACTATACATACATGTTTACACGGCGATAAATTACCCTGTAAATTAACTCGTGATAAAGTACATTTTTAACAACATGTAAAATTTAAAACATGGTTTACGCAACAGAATTAACTCCAGTTAAACTAGTAAACTTTTATAATTTTGGGTATTTTTTTAACCAGGTCACCTGGCTAATAACAACGTGTAAGACAACAACCACAGTTTGATCTTCGACAAGAGGAGCCTGTGCAGGATTATTAGCGGCCCAGAAAAACAATATTAACAAAATAGAGATCTTGTACATTTCATTAGTGTTTAACTCAGGACCACAATTAATGGATGAAAAGCTCTTTTTAAATTTACCAATTTTATAGGAATAAAAAAACAATTTTTCTGAATAAATAATATTTATTCAGAAAAATTTACATATAAGATGTTTTCTTAAAAAGCAAGCATATATTTTTTTTGCGAATTTTACAGCAAATCGTAAAATATGTATATTTTGTTTGTTTAACCCGATTTGAAGCGATGAGCGGATTGTTTGCTTCTCAAACACTTGTGTTGTTTTCAATATTCTGTTTTTGTCTATATTGTTTCGACTAAAAAAACATGACTCACAAAGCTTGGTCGAGTGTAATTTTTTAAGTATAGAAATTTCGACATACGTCAAAAGTTGAGTCCCTTTTTCCCTACAGGAGGCGGTGTGAGTTTTTCTCCATTTGGTTTATGCGAGGGGAAGTTTATGAAAATTGGACAGCTGGTTGGAAAATGGTCGACTGTATAGATAATTAATAAATAATAATCTAACTCTCTCTCTAGTCTTATGCTTTCGTTCTACTCTCATCTATCTTATATTATATACCGAAAGTTCACTTTGGCAAACATCACAATATTATCGTCTTTATTGAATTCCCCAAAATATTCTTCCTTTCTTCGATTATTTACCAAAAATAAAATGATTTATAATACATATATCATTCTACTGCAATACAAATTAAGTATTCGTCGAACAAAAAATATTCAATTTTTAATTTAAAAAAAACTCTGTTATAAAACACAGGCAATGGTTGTGTTTACGTTGTATATATTTTGCACGCGTTGTCCTGTTGAAAACTTCTTATTTGTTTTATGGCTTTGTAGGTATATACCTACTAAAATGAAAAATATTGTACTCATAAGTACGTACAATATTTTATCCGCTTGACAAGAAAGTGAGCGTTGAAAAAGAAAGTTTTAAAATATAATACAAAAATATGGTTTTGGTTATGTTTAGAAAATCTCTTACAGATTTTACATACAATTAGGAATCGTAATCCAATAGTAATGAATATAAGAAGAAAAAAAACGTTTGTAACCTTCACATGAAAATAGTAAAAAGATCACAAGAAAGTTCCAAACCATGGGTTTTTCGCTAATTAAGACCAGCAGAATTAATTTTTGACTTTTTTCTAACAGTTTTTGAAAAATATCGTTTATTTTTAAAGATACACCATCGCGTTGGAGCTAAATTTAAAATTTAATCTTTATGGGTACACTACCCTAATAGCTAAATAAACAAATAATTAATAATTGACTATATTTAAATATGAGTTAAATATTTAGATGCACACGATCAGATACTAGCAGATTCTTTCAATATACGCATATTTCAGTTTTAACCTATAAGCTAAATGCGTTGAAAATCTGTACAAAAAAAAATACCACAATTAATATTGTACATTTTTAAGGTTTTTAAAAAGAAAGGATTCAACTTTTTAGAACGATACTGATTTGTTTATGTTACAAAATATCAAAACGGATTTTATTGTATTATCATCCATCTTGTATTATACGGTTTTTTCGGGTATACTTATGTTTAAGAATACTCATCGGCTGTAAAACAGTTGCTTACAAAAAAAAAAAACGAGTACCACTATGCCCCGACCCCACTGTGCTAGCTTTTCATAGCATATATTATTGTACACAGACAATGTCAAGCCGAACGACTAGCTGACTTTGTCCTTGAAGTAGTTCATGCCTTTATCGATGAAAAATACAAAAAAAAAAATCAAAACTTTTACCGATCCGGTTCTACAGTATTAATCGTTTTTTAACGTGTCTGTATTTGTAGGTACGTTTTATTCATTTTACTATATCTGTTTTTTGCTTTTGAAGAAAATTTAATATTGTATTGAACGCAATGATATATCACCTTGTGTCACCCGCACTGTAGAAAATCAAAGCGACTGTAATGTAATTTATATAATATTACAAAGTATTTAGTGTTAACTATTAATTATTAAATATTAACTATTATAAAGACATACATCTTCAAAGTAATTGCAGCTCCGTTTAATAAGAGAAAATAATTAAAACAAAATACTTCAATTATATAAAAATAATTTTTTTTTAGTATAAAATAGAACTTTTATAGGAATATTTAAAATCTGTAAGAAAATAAGATAAGCAAATATTTTGACAAAAAAAACCTGGTTATTTTCTCAGCTCCACG